ATTGTGCAGTTTGTATCAGCAACGTTTCAGGTTTAACATCCTTAGGACACTCTTTGAGAATCAAGGGCTGCTAGGAATAAGAGACAGGTCCACTTTACCATGTAGAGCAAAAGCATATTTTCCAAAAGAGTACCAAACCTTTTGAGAGCTCTAAACTAGAAATGACGAGGGAGGGAGATGATGACCCAAAATCAAGTGAAGAAGTCACAGACTTGAAAAATAGAGGCTGCAGGGTGATGTGGAAAACACACCTTGAAAACAACAAACCAGGACACAAGAATGAACATCTCAAGTGCATGCACACAAGCAGGGAATTGCTGCTGTGAGGATGACATGATGGGGAATGTTTTAACACTTTGCCTGGGAAATCAACACAAGTAGACACCTCCCTGAAGTACCTGCATGCTAACATACACAACATAGCGAGCAAAGAGAAAGAACTGAGGTCTTCATGTGGTTGAGTACTACAATCTCATTTTGACCATAAACACATATTGAGATAGCTCACATGACTGGAGTGGTGCCATGGATTCATACAAGTTGTTTAGACAGGATCATCCCAGGATCATCCAGGGCAGTGAGGAGAGCAATTGCCATTTCTGTTACGAGAACAGCAGGGATAAATGAATCTCTTCCTGGGTACTGTTGATGAGCTACATCAGAGTTAATATAGGATTAGATGGTTGACCAAATGTCAGCACAATGCTGGCATTGTGGTGGATGTCTGGTATAAACTGTCTGTTATGGGAGAAATAGATGAGGCCTTCTTGAGACAACTGGAAGAAGTCAGGTTCTCAGGACCTCATTCTAACTGGGGACTTCAATCACACTGGTATCTCTTAGAGAGAAAACACAAAAAGGAACTAACAATCCAAGTCTTTTATGGAATTCTTTGATAATAATTCCCCAATGCAGATGTTCAAGCAGCTGACTAAATTATATTCTCTTCTGGACTGATACTTACAGACAAACAAACACTGATTGGGGATGTAAAAGTCAGGACATCCTTGGTTATGACAACCATGAGACTGTGATGCTCAAGATCCTGAAAGAAGAGAAGAAGAGAGACAACATCACAACAGTCCTGATCTTCAGGAGAGCAAATTTGTTTTCATGCTCAGGGACATAATTGGAAAAGTGACATAGAAGATGGTCACAGAAAGAAGAGAGATCCTGGCTGATTTTAAAGAATAATTTCCTCCAAGCCCAAGAAAGGTCCATCCAAACAGAAAATCAAATAAAGATCACCATGGATGAGCAAGGAACTTCTAAATGAACTCAGACAATAAAAGCGGTGGAAAAAGAGGTGGAAACAGTAAAAGAGGTGGAAACAAGGTCAGGTGATGCAGAAGGAGTACAGAGACATTGTCAAAGCATGCAGGGGTTTCGTTAGGAAAGCCAAAGCACACTTGGATTTGAATCTGTTAAAGGACATGAAAGACAATAAGAAGTGATTCAACAGGTATACAGCAGTAAAAGGAAGACTAAGGAAAATGTGGATCCACTGCTGAGCACTGGGAACAGGGCATCTGCTACTAAAAGACATGGACAAGGCCAAGGTAATCAATGTCCTCTTGAACATTTGCTGCTAAGTCTTGATTTCAGGAATCTAAGGTACTTGAAAATGCAGGAGAAAAGTACAGAGCGCAGGAGACCCTCAGTGGAGAAGGATCAGGTTAGAAAACACTTAAACAAATTTGAGATATGTAAACCAATGGACCTAATGGGGAGTGCCTAAGAATGACGATGGAATTGTTCAGGGTCAATTTGAGGTCTGCATTGTTTATATTTGATAAGTAGTGTCAATCAGGAGAGATTCATAAAAATCGTGAGAGCAAAAGTCCCAAAATCAACACATGGTATCAACATTGGTGGGGGCTGAGCAACAGCCTTGTCTTAAATCCCCTCAAGGGAGGGATAAAATGGTTTCCAACCTGAAGCCAGCAGAATTGATGAACTCACAAGCTAAGATCCTTGTCTCTGTTTTGAGCAGAGTTAAGAATCTCCCCGTTGCCCCAGAAGTGCTCCTACACAACAGATACCATTCTCTGGGGCTCAATAAAGGAGTGGATGTCAACAACAGTGGTAATGGTCAAGACTCAGGAAAGTGCAACTGTAAAAAGGTAGAACAACATACAAGTTCTTTAAGAACCAGATTCATTAAAAAAAGTGTTGAGTGTGTTGGTAAATGGAGATTCTGCTCTGAGAGGCATAAGGCAACCATTTGCCACACAGACAGTATCTCAGAAGAGATTTTCTGCCTGCCTGAGACCTGTATTTGTGACATCACAAAGAGGCTACCAAGCTTGATCAAGCCAGAGGGACTATCACCCATTTCTGTTTTTTCAAGTAGGGACAACTGAGCCTTAAGAAAGAGGCTATGAAACATCAAAAGGGCCTTTATGTCCCTTGGAAAAATTCTGAAGGGATCAGGAGCACAAGTACTGTTCTTCTTAATCCTCCCAGCTGGAGACTGGGACCCACAGAGGAGGCAGCATATGGATAACTTGAATGGGTGGCTGCATAGCTGGTGCCATGATCAAGGTTTCGGGTTCTATGATCTCAGGTGTGTTTTTGAGAGACTGGACATGCTGCTACAGGATGGGACACACCTAATCAAATGGGGCAAGAGTGTTTTGGGCAGAAAGCTGGCTAGACTCTAGCAGGGCTTTAAAGTACACTTGATGGGGGAGAGAGGATGTACCTGTAAGTGTAGGAGAACCACTGAATGCCAATACTTTATAAATGGCAGGGAAACACATGAATCATCCCACAGGAATTAGGAGGGACTCCTCTAAAAAGGTGACATGGCCCTTAGCCCAGCTGAAGTGCCTCTACACCAATGCATGCCGCATGGGAAGCAAGCAGGAGCTGGAAGCGACATTGCAGTTAGAAAACTATGATCTAATTGCTATCACGGAAATGTGGTAGGGTGATTCACACACATGGAATGTTGAAACAGAGAGCTAGAAGCTTTAAAAGTGAGACAGACAGTGAAGAAAGAGTGGGTGTGTTGCCCTCTATGTTAAGAAATGGATAGATTGTGAAGAGTTCCCTCTGAGAGACAGCCAAGAGCAGGTTGAGAGCCTGTAGCTGAAAATTAAGGACCAGACCAACGATGGACATCCTTTGGTTGGGGTCTACTACAGGCCACCTTATCAGGAGGAGCCTGTTGAAAAGGACTTCTTGCTTTAACTACAGGAAGCATCATGCTCAGAGACTCTTATCCTCCTGGGGAATTTCAACCAGCCAGATGTTTACCAGGAAAACCATGTGGTGGTAAGCAATCCATGACTCATGGAGTCCACTGAGGATAACTTTCTCATCCAGGTATTAGACAAACGAACCAGAGGAGAAGCAGTACTGGACCTGGTGCTCACCAATACAGAAGAGCTTATTAAAGAGGTTAAGACTGGAGGAAGTCTGGGGTGCAGTGACAATGCCCTGATCTTGAGGGATATAGGCTTGACTAAGAACAAAGTCAGCACCTTGAACTTCAGAAGAGTGAACTTCCAGCTGTTCAAAGAATTAGTGGATGAAATTTCACGGGACATGGTCCTTAGGATCACATCAAAGCTGGCAACCCATCAAGGATTTTTTTCCTTAGAGAACAATAACTCTTCATTCCCCTGTATTATAATCAGGAAGGGCAGAAAACTGGCATGGCTGAGCAAGGACCTGCTGGTCAGATTGAGGCAGAAGGGAAGAGACAGAAATGCTTTTCAGATGTGTAGGGATGGGAGCAGGAAAGCCAAGGCACTGACAGAACTAAATTTGGTGAGAGATGCAAAGAATAACAAGAAGGGGTTCTACGGGTACACTGACCACAAGAGAAAGACTAAAGAGAGTGTATCACTTCCGACAAAGGAAGACAGAGAAATGGTAACAACAGATGAGGAGAAGGCAGAGGTACTTAAAACTTCCTTGCCTCAGTCTTCAAACTGGTCAGACTTCCTCCATCTCTTTTGCCCCCAAACTCCCCAAACTTCCTCTCTAGGCAGGGGCAGGAGGAGCAGAGTCCCCCCCACTGTAAGCAAAGAGCAAGTTCAGGACCTCCTGAAGTAACTTACTAACTGCAAGTCTATGGGCCCTGATGATATGCACCCCAAGGTCCTGAGGGAATTGGCTGATATAGTCGCCAAGCCACTCTCCATCACAGTTTAAAAATCACGGCAGTCAGGCAAAGTCCCCAGTGACTGGAAAAAGGGAAATATCACTCCCATTTTAAAAAAGGGTAGAACAGAAGACCTGGCAAACTACAGACCAGTGAGCCTCACCTCTGTGCTTGCCAAGATCATGCAACAGGTCCTCCTGGAGGTAATGTTAAGGTGCATACAGGACAAGGAGGTGATCTGACACAACCAGCATGACTTCACCAAGGGCAAATTGTGCCTAACCAATCTGGTGGCTTTCTATGACAAAGTAACTCCATCAGTCAACAAGGCAAGACCGACTGATGTCATCTACTTGGACTTTTGTAAAGCCTTTGACATGGTCCCATACAACATCTTAATCTCCAAATTGGAAAGATAGGGATTTGTTGGGTGGACAATCCAATGGATAAGAATTGTCTTGATGGCCACACCCAGAAGGTAGTGGTCAATGGTCTATGTACAGGTGGAGGATATTGATGAATTTTGTCCCCCAAGGGGTCTGTCTTGAGACCAGTGTTTTTCACTGTCTTCAACAGTGACATAGACAATAGGATTAAGTGCTCCCTCAGCAAGTTTGCAGATGACACCAATCTGAGTGGTGTGGTGTTATATTGGAACACAAACCAGAATCTCTTCTGTTTACCTTGCTTTATTATTAAGTGATAAAGACATCATTAGAACAGTCTTAACATTTAGACAAGAACAGGAATAGCAGAAACGAGCTACACTCTACTGGGCAGAGGTAAACTAACAGTATTAGTGGGACTTCATATTTTATTGAAATAATCCACAACTGTTCCTTTTAGACATAGCATTATACATTATCTTTCATTTCTTTACTTCTAGGGTCCGAGGTGGTTGGTTTTGATGGGAAAAGTTGTCTAATTTACACATTTAATCAAAACCTCATGAGTACACTGAAAGATGTGATTTCTCTGAAGTTTAAGACAATGCAAAGTGATGGAATTCTCCTCCACAGAGAAGGACAAAATGGAGACCATATCACCCTGGAATTACTTAAAGGAAAGCTGTCCCTTCTTATTAATTTAGGTAACAGCTACAGTCTCATAAAATTAATATATATATAAAATATAGTTATTAGATATTATTTTACTAAAACTTATTTTATTTCATTAAGCAGATTTAAATATGCTAAACTAGCAGTATATGATAAACTAGCAGTATATATTTGAATATTTATATTTTTATATGAAATTAATAGTTTCTTATTTTTCTTCTCTCAAGGTGACGATAAAACTCATTCTTCTAATACCCAAATTAATATTACCCTGGGCAGTCTTTTGGATGATCAGCATTGGCATTCTGTTCTCATTGAGCACTTTAACAATCAAGTAAACTTTACAGTGGATAAACACACTCATCATTTTCATGCTAAAGGAGAATTCAATTATTTGGATCTTGATTATGAGGTGTGAAAATTACCTTTCCTTTATTACATTTATTAACTTTGTTATAGAAATGCAACAACAACAACAAATAAAGGGGATAGAGCTTAAGGAAGTTTTAATGGTTGAGACTTCAGGGATTTTCTGCTTTGGAATTAACCAAAGAGAGACACTCTTAAATTATTAATATTGTGCTGGACCTGCAACTGAAAGTTTTTAATAGACCAACTTTTTAATCTCAGAATTCATTTTTTTCTTAAATATTTTATTTCAGTACCACTGAAAATGTGTTAAGCAATTTGTAAATATAATTTGAATAAATTTATTTATTATTTTTACTTTAAAAATATTACCCTTTAATAAAAGCAATTAGCCCTAGCTCTAAGTTGTTATTCTTGGCTTGATGAAAAGTACAAAAGTCAGAACAAACCTGTGTCAGAGATGCTTGGGATAAAACTTGAATTCCTGTTAAATCTAGCAAATGTATTATGAAAGAAATCTAGTTTACGCAAATTGTAGAATGATGAAAAAGAGTAGATGTAATTTGCTGTGATAGTTTCCCACCTGTGAGAAACCATAGGAAACTACTATTTCAGTCTGTAATTTGAAGATGGGATGCATTATGTTTGCCCCGTTCTATTTGCTGGAGGATATGATGATAGAGCATCATTTGAGCCTGCAGATTTATATTCTTTTTTTTTTTTTTTCTCCCTATTCAATGTCTTAAGCAGTTAAGAAAAAGATTTCATGCTGTTCCATATCTGCAGTATCCCTTCTCAAGAATATCATTCACAAGATTGAAGTCATAATTTTGTTTAAAATTACTGAGTCTAAGCCACAATGCTAATACTTTGAGGATTACAACTAAATAAATAAATATGCTTGTTAATTTCAACTAAGTGGCTAATATATCTATTTTACCAATATTATGAATTTATTCTTCCTCTCTTTCAGTACAAGGTAGAAAGGAAAGCAAAAACTGGAAAAAAGCCTGAAAATTTCCAAATGACTATGAAGAGCTGTATTTAGAATTGCATTTATTACTACCAATATTTCTCAATTTAATAATTGAATGATGTTTATGCCATGATATAGCTCATTCTTTATATATAGAATGATTGAAAACATTAAGTGAAATTTCAGAATAAAAAGATAATTAGCTTCAACTGATCTTTCCTACAATCACTTTGAATGCCAAATGGAATTGCTTTGAAATGAGTGAGTTCAAAAGTTTACTGGTATCCTATGGTACCTAAGTGTGTCTAAGAGTGAAAAAAGTGACCAGAGAATAGATCAAGTCATCTTTGTGGTTGTGCTTTTCTAATTTTTTTTATTATTATTATTTTTTTAATTATTTTGTGTCTTGGGGATTTACTGAGACATACTGATATTTTTACATTTCTTAGCTTGCAATGGATTTTTATTTTTTTATCAAATCTTACAGTGTATTTCTGAACTTTGTTAAACCTACAGTATCATGTCAAAGAATTGCACAGTCTAACTAACCATTCTGAGAGGAAAACATTACCTTTGCTTTGTTTTTAATCTACTCCAGACTAATTTAATTGATGTACCCTGGTTCTGTGTTGTGGTAGATACAATTTACACATAGTGGAGAGGTCAGCTTCAAATTTACTGAAGAAGCTAAAATACTCAGCATTGTCCAGCTGTGTCTGTACATACTGGACCTTGTCCTTCATTTTGCAGCTGTAATGGACCCATAAAAATGATAATTCTATATACGAAGTTACTGTAAAGGAGAAGGATCTATATATCTATATAGATATCTTATATATATTATATATATAATGCTTATTTATAACTTGATTATATATATATATATAATGTATATATATATATAAAATGCATATGTATAATTTTATATAACCCTATTCATGTTAGTCTATTCTTTTAATACACAAATGTTATACAAATAAATAGCCGTGAAGTAGTGGATTCAGTACTGGACAATCTTTGACTTCTTCTCTTACATTATTAGTAACTTCTTTCATTAGAAAATTACTTAATAGTATTATTGATTTCTCTTCTCTTTCTAAGCTCAGCTTTGGAGGGATCCCAGTGCCTGGAAAATCAGGGGCATTATCACGCAGGAATTTTCATGGTTGTTTTGAGAATGTTTATTATAATGGAGTGAGCATTATTGACCTGGCCAGGAGGCATAGATCTCAGATCTCCTTTGTGGTAAGAGATTCATAGTTCAAAAAGAATAAATAAGTAAAATAAAATAAAATAAAATAAAATAATAATAACAATAATAATCATCATCATCATTAAAAAAGAAGAAAAAGAAAAAGAAAAACACAGCCACTTCCCTATTCAACATGTTGATATACAGCTCTAATAAAATCCTTGTTGTTCAATTAAAGAAAAATCAATTAATCACCTATTTGGAATGTTTTATCTGTGCTGTTGTAGATATTCATCCAGTAGATAATGCAGGATACATTTTAGTCTCAGATTTCCAGCTAATATTTAGGTGTGTGTGATATCTCAAAGTTGTATTGTATCTCCCTGTTTTACATGTACAGGTAACATTTGGCTATACAAGATGTACCTAAACTCTTCCAAATACTGTCTTTCACTTCTGTACATGACTAGTAAAAACATCACCAGTACATTTTTAAAGCTATTGCTGAGGATGCCATTCCATTCTGTTTTCTCTAGAGCATTGTAATTTGATGGATTAAGTTCTTCTTGTCAATTTATATTGTTCTTCTCTGCTTGTCAATTTTTATTGTTCTTCTAAGAGCTGTAATTTAGGTTGTTGGGTTTAAAACATTTGTTGTGACACAGCCCACAGATGTAGTAGTCAAATCCCTACCATTTAGAGAAATGCTTTCAATAATTAACAAAATTCCTTCTGCTACAGAAGGTTTTCTACTAAACAAACAAACAAACAAATTGTTTTGTCCTTTGTTTCTTTTTTCTATTTGGAACATTCAGGGATAATCTCTGTTTTCACTATTTATTTATTCATTGATTTAATAACCAGCAAGAGAAGAGTTATGATGGAAAGTATCAGTTCAAAATAAATAACTAAATAGGAAATGTTATCAATATCCAAAATGTTTGATGTGGATTTCAGTTCACAACATGAACAAAATCAGATCTGGTAGTCTGCCCCAGGAAAAAAAAAAATGGATTTCAGGAACTTAATCTCTTCTTTTCTGAACCTCATTGAAGCACTCCATAACTAGCTAAATTGATACCTCTGTATCCTGTCCATGATGATGATAGATGTTGGGAAGATTCTCTGTGGACTAGAGAATGAGAAACTATGAAATTGTTGGCAAGAAATATAATTGTTTTTATCTCAAATGACTGAACTGTTGTGCTACTTTCAAATCTATTTAAATGTTTTATAATATATATGTGCCAGAAATTACCTGTGTTACTACAGAATCCCTATTAAACAGCCACTCTGCTGGTCTATCAGGCAATTGTCCAAATAAAGAGGAGGGGGAATCTGCAGATGGAAATCTTTTAACATTTGACAAAGTTTCTTAATCTGATGACTGCCTTTTTACTATGAGTCTGTTAAGTCAACTATTCATCTCTCTACAGATGAGTTTATTCATTTATATATTTATATATGTTCCTTGAAGGAAAAGAAAACAGATAAACTTTAATGCCTTGCCATGCCAGGGGCTAGTGAGATTTTTTCTTAGATTGATTTTATAGTTTTATCCTTTAAGGTCAATATTTTATGTGCCTTTAAAAGTTAAAAACTGTTTGTGTTGAAAAGTTGTTAGATGTGCTTTAAATTCTAAAAAGTTTATCATCTGTTTGTTTTATCATCAGTTATCATCTGTACAGAACTACTTAGTTTCAAATGTTTCAAATGATGGCAAGTCATTAGATCATAGTACATGTTTTATCACTGTCAGGAGTCATAAAGTATTAACATACTTTAACACCAGACTCAAAAAATATATCTGTCTTCTTATTTATATCAGTACAACTGCAGATACAACTAAAGTCAATGAACTCATCCTCAGATTTATTTAAGCACCTAAGAACCAGAGATTTCAGGAACAGTCAAGTACAAAATAAAGGTTAAATAATTATATATTAATCATAATCTGATCCACGTAGGCACACTGGGAAATAAATAAACAGATAAAATAAGAGATCTTTTTTATAAAGTATGTGTTTCATATTTGTAAGTAGTAAGAATTTATAAGGGTAATTTTAACTGATTATTTCTGAAAATGAATACTGAGCTCAGTGAACATCTCCAGTTGCATTGAATAGGAATGACTGTTACTTGGTCCAGAATATTTTTTGTTTTTCTCTCTCAGATTTAACACTGCCATAAACACAGACCCACCCCAGATTTCCTCTCTGCATACAGGCATTCAGGACTGTATGTTTATACAAAACCTAGCATTCTGTGGGATTTCATCTGAAATTCAGAAATTTATCAAGATCTTAATGCCATTTTGACTGAGCCAAAATAAACTCAAAGTGGTGGTGTTTAACTACTGAAGGTTCAATCACTTAATTTAAGATCTTACATCATTCACTCAAGGGTTTTTGCCACTCTGCTTGGGCAGATATGTCTGTTCTTGCCAAAGAATCAGGTAAACATTTCTCAAGCTGGTGATTTTCTTATACATTTGTACTTGTTTTTTTTTTTTTTAGACTAAGACATTCAAGAGTGTTAACTTCTATGCCAAATATTTTGAAATTATGTTGTGTCAATGCAAAAGTTCTTATGACAAGTTTTACCCAAATGTTCCTAATTCCATTCTTGTTTCATTTATTTCTAGGGAAACATATCTTTCTTGTGTTTAGAGCCACAGGTGATTCCTGTTACATTTCTGAGCTCCAGGAGTTACCTGGCACTGCCTGGCACTTCAGGCCAAGAAGAAGTATCCATCAGTTTCCAATTTCGCACCTGGAACAAAGACGGACTTCTGTTATCTAGTAAAGTACATCGGTCTTCAGGTGGTTTCCTGTTATATCTGAGTGATGGAAAAGTTAAAATCAATCTTCATAAGCCAGGCAAAACCTTGAGTGACATTAGTGCAGGTAATAGAAATGAAGGAAAAACAACAAAACAAAACAAAACAAAACATTATTATGGAAAAAAAAAAAAAAAAAAAAGGAGAGAAAAAAAGAGAGAGGAAAAAAAAAAGAACCATGTTAACCAAAACCTGTGTCATTGACTTGGCTTGCAAATTTATGATTCCTTATTTATTTATTTATTTTTAATTTTTTATTTTCTTAGCGATTTGTATATGCTTTTATGGTTGTTGGTTTATTTTAACATTATTTTTTCTCAGTGATTATTTGAGTAGAAATTACTTGCAATAACACAGGCTGTGAGTTGAGTCCTTAATTTGGGTATATGATATGTACAGTTCATTTGTATAATCTAAGAAATGCATGAAGCAAGTTTTCCATTTGTGAAATGTAATTAATTAATTTCTTGCTCTATGAAGCTATTTGTCAGTGCATTTAAAAGGTATCAAGTAACTCATTTTTATATAAAGTTATATATTAGTACATATATTTTGTTTTCTATTATCTAGAAGTCTCAATTACAGAACTTTCTAATACCTACATATAGAAAACTTGCCAAAAACCGGGTCATGTTCCAGGAAGCTAAGGGCTAAGGCAGGCCTGAGTCTATATTAAGAAAAAGATGTTAAATAAAAAAAAAAAAATTAAAAAAAAAAAAAAATGAAGAAGTTGAGGAGACTCAATAATTGAGAACCAAAGATTCTTTTTTTTTTTTTTTTTTTTTTGTAGTTAATCACTGAATTGAGATTAGATCATCTGTTCTTAATAGTGTTTTATTAGTTTTTATTAAAATAGTTTTTATTAAAATAGTTTTTATTAAAAGAAATAGCCTTCAGGGTGGAGCTGAGATTTTCAGAGAGCAATAGTCTTGTTTAGACTATTTCCCCATTGGAAAACTAATAGTATGTTTCAAGCCATGTGAAAGCAGGACAGTGTCAGCTGAGAAAGTCTTCATATTCTATGACTCTTTCAAAAAATGGAGAGAAGCAGTACCATGTACCATATTAATACCTAGCATTGTTTTGTTAGCAGTATACTCTCCTCAGAATTACAGCTGCTCGTTCTTTGTGTAAACAAACTGAGTTTAAACTTTTTGTTATAGAGGGGTAAAATAGTAGTGCCAGAATGAGTTCTTACACAGGACAGGTAAGACTAGAGAGTTCAGATGGATACATAGAATTCCAAAGAATATTTAAAGATAGGAAAATGTCTCTGGGATTGGTGTAGATCCTGCATGAACAAAGAAGTTCCAGTTTGTCTTGAGTAATAATGAGTACATTATGTAAATTAAGCTATTACTAAAATAAGTAACAGATAAACAAATAATCAAAATAATAATCACTAAAATTTCTTTTCCCCCAATCCTTTTTGAATCCCACAACACTGAAAAAATCTATGTAAAAGAGCACAAAGTATTCACAAAATCAATAATCAGTAATCAAGTAAAATCACTTATCATGAATAATGTCCCTGGCAGTATGAAGTAGATAAAGAACAAAATGCAGAGGCAAGTAAAGCAAAGAGACAACAGGATTTTAAGCTAAGAGTTCCCAAATCTTAGGTCCTTGCTATTATTATTATTATTATTATTGTAGATTGGTTCCTTACTTCAATTCCTGGTACAAAATGATAATCCTTTTGAAGGAAAAAAAAAAAAAGTTTCTCACAATTCCAGTGTTTATTGTGTCTCTACAGACACATAAAGATTGAGCATAAAATTTTAAAAATTAAAATTAAAATTTTAATTCAGGAAAGTAATGACCATGAATAATGTTAAAATTTACATAAATACTTTTTTTTTTTTTTTTCTGTGTGTAACACTAAGATCAGCCTTGATATTTGTTGTAATCAAAAATAACTGATAGACAAAGAGTATCAATGTATAAAATGACAAGTAGCTTCCTTGGGCTCACCATTTTAAAATGTCAATTTCTTAGCAAGAGTGATGTGCAGTTAACAGGGATAAATTTGTCTGTTAGAAGCTGTTTCAATTGCAGTTCAGTTAGATGATATATGTTAAAGAAACTGGGGTCATGTACTATCATTTTAACAGACCTGTTTAAGGTGGTGGCACTTTTAACATCTGTAGACTTGTACATAGAGCAAATTATTCAAAGTTGCAATATAATATTAGGTGAAACACTCCACAATAAATCTTGGCAATTTGTAATGAAATAGAATTTAATGACAGAATGGAATTTAATCACAGAATCACAGAATTTCTAGGTTGGAAGAGACCTCAAGGTCATCGAGTCCAACCTCTGACCTAACACTAACAGTCCCCACTAAACCATATCCCTAAGCTCTACATCTAAACGTCTTTTAAAGACTTCCAGGGATGGTGACTCCACCACTTCCCTGGGCAGCCCGTTCCAATGTCTAACAACCCTTTCGGTAAATTATTATATTTCGGTTATTATTCTATATAAGCTTATTTTTCAAAATATTTAGCAGGAGGAATTGTGGCTGACTTTGTGAGGGCAAAGCACTGGAAAAATAAAAAAAAAAAAGAGAAAAGAAAAAGGAAAAAAAAAAGAGAGAAAAAAGGAAAAGGAAAAGGAAAAGAAAAGAAAAGAAAAAGAAAAGAAAAGAAAAGAAAAGAAAAAGAAAAAGAAAAAGAAAAAGAAAAAGAAAAAGAAAAAGAAAAAGAAAAAGAAAAAGAAAAAGAAAAAGAAAAAGAAAAAGAAAAAGAAAACCATCATATTTTCTTCTAATAAAAATGTTATCTAACAAAACCATATGCAGGACTTTTTCTTGAGTTTCTGAAGTGCTTATTGTTGCCACACTCACTGAAGAAAATCAAGCCTACATCTAAAGACTGAGTAATTAAATTATGGATGGCTGGACAGGTTTTTTCTCCTACAAGCAGTCTTATGATACGTCTTTCACACATATGTGAAATTTGATAATTAAATCAGAGCACATTTCTTTGTGCACAGTTCTTCAGAGATCACTTCAGCCATATAAGAAAGAGGAGAACAGCATATTAATTAATGAATGATTAAGCTATAATAAGTTATTTGCACTACTTAAGTATTAGTGCAGTCTCCTTTAAGGTAGGACATTCTCTTACCTAGTCTAACATGAATCAGGAAGACCAAGCAGATGAGGCCCTTCTATACAGACAGAAGCAGCCTCAAATTCACAAGCCCTGGTTTTTCAAGCACCCCAAAAATCTGCTGAAGGGACAGCACAGAAAGGTGTAGGCAACCCAGAAGTTCCTGGAATGCATTGTTGATATCTTCCTTCTCCAACTGATAGAGAAGCCAGTGAGGAGAAGTGCTATGCCAGATCTCATTCTTACCAACAAGGAGGGATTGCTAGGGAATGTGAAACTCAAGGCAATCTAGGGTACAGTGACCATAAAATTTAGGATCCTGTGGGCAGTGAGGAGGTAGCGCAGCAAGCTCACTACCCTGGACTTCAGAAGAGCAGACCTTCCCTTCTTCAAGGATCTGCTTGCTAGAACACCATAGGGTAAAGCCCTGAAGGGAAGAGGGGCCCAGGATAGATAGTTAATATACAGGGGTCATATTCTCCAAGACCAGGAGTAATACATCCCAAAAAGGACAAAGTCAGGCAAAAATGCCAGGATTCATGGATGAACAAGGAGCTCCTGGCCAAACTGAAGCAGAAAAAGGAGGTCTACAGAGGGTGGAAGCAAGGACAAACATCCTGGGACAAATACAGAGAAATTGTCTGTGCAGACAGGGTTCAGGTTAGCAAGCCCTATTAGAATTAAATTTGTCCAGGAACATCAAGGAGAAAAAATAAATGTTTCTATAGGTACATCAGTGATAAAAGAAAGTCTAGGAAAATTGTGGACTATCTCCAGAGGGAAGCTGGAGAGTTGGTTACCCACAATATGGAGAAAGCTGAGTTACTCAATTACTTTTTTTCTTCAGTCTTCATTGGCAAGAGTTCTAGCCACTTAGCCCAAGCCCAGAAGGCAAAGGCCAGATCTAGAAGAATGATGAACCACATACAGTATAAGAGAAGATTGGTTTCAAGACTATCTAAGGAACCTAAAGGTGTAAAACCCCATGGGACCTGATGACATCTGCAGGAGAAGGGAACCAGTAAATGTAGTTGCTAAGCCACTATCCATCATATTTAAGAAGTAGTGGAAGTCTGGTGAAGTTCCCACTCACCCTAAGAGGGGAAATATAGCCCCCATAATTAAAAAGGGGAAAAAAGGAAGACAAAGGGAACTGCACACCAGTCAGTCTCACCTCTGTGCCCAGCAACACCATGGAGCAGATCCTCATGGAAACTAGGCTAAGGTATATGCAAAATAAGGAAGTAACTGGTAACAGCCAACCTGGCTTCAGTATAGAGAGATTGTGCCTGACAAATCTGGTGCCCTTCTATGATCGGGTGACAGCACTGGTGGATGGGGGAAGAGCAAGTGACATTACCTACCTGGACCAGTGCAAAGCATTTGAAACTGTCTGCCATGATATCCTTGTCTCTAAATTGGAGAGACATGGATTTGATGGATAGACCACTTGGGCAAGGAATTGGCTGGATGATCACACTCAAGGAGTTGCAATCAACAGCTCAATATCCAAGTGGAAGTCAGTTATGCATGGTGTTTCTCAGGGGTCAGTATTGGGACTGGTACTATTTAACATCTTTATAGGTGACATGGACATTGACATTGAGTGCACGCTCAGCAGCTTTGCAGATGACACCAAGCTCTGTAGTGAGGCTAGTACACTGGACGGAAGGGATGCCATCCAGAGGAACATGGCCAGGCTTGAGATGGTTGTGTGTGAACCTCATGAAGTTCAACAAGGCCAAGTACAACGTTGTACATCTGGTCCAGGGCAATCCCAAGAAAAAATACAGGTTGAGTAAAGAATGGATTGAAAACAGGCCTGAGGAGAGAAACTGGAGGTGTTAGTTGATGAGAAGCTCCACATGAGCTGGCAATGTGTGCTTGCAGCCCACAAAGTAAACTGCATCCTGGGCTGTAGCAAAAGACACATGGCCAGCAGGGCAAGGCAGGTGATTCTTCCCCTTTACTCTGCCTTCATGAGACTCCACTGAAAAGAGTCAGGCTCCACTTGTTACATTTAATGCTCCTCTCCCCCTCCCTCCCTTCCCTTCTTTATCCTGACTGTAAATATACTGCATCTGTTAGTATCCTCATATGACACTTCTCATACCAAACTGCAAATAAAATTAATTGCCTGAATGTTATCAGAAAATCTGTGATTATGGTTCTGTACTTTCTGTGATTCTATTAGAAGAGGGAATGGTTGCTTGAAGTGAAACACAGAGGTAATCTATGTGCCATGGTTTTTTATATAATTCCACCTAAGATGGGCATAAAGCAAAAGTTACTGTTATTAGAGGATAAGGTTTCTTCTTGTATAGTCCCTGACAATTATAACAGTTGAAGTAAGGAAACAAGTCGTATAAATGGTGCATGTATCTATTATTGTATTTAATATATTACAGACACTTTCTAAATGATATTTTATTTGAATTTAGAAGTAATTTTAAGATTAATCTCTGAATTGTGTGCTGAATTTATGTATGTATGTGTTTAGGCTGTGGTAGTTTGGAATATATGAGTCCTAGTTATAACGCAATTTAGTTGTTTGAACCCTGTCACTTTTATATTTTGATTTCTTTTCTGTCTGTATGAACAAATCTGTTAACTCTCAGAATATTTATTTATAGAATATAGAGCAAATTCTAGAGAGGACTATATAAATACATTAAATTTAAAGAGGGAAATCACATCACAAATCTGAGACATTGCAGTCAATAAAAGACTTTAAATAACTCAAAGGCTGTGTTCTTTGTAGTCCTCTGAAAGAAGTATCATAATTCTAAAACCACTCAGGAACATAATTGACTTACACCACTTATGTAAAGAAAGTAAGTGTTTACGTACTGACTAAAATAAAATGTATTTAAATCTATATATGCAGGCATGTTCCAGAACATGTTCTGTCACACACAGACAGAGGTAATGTAAATTGGTTCTATAGCCTAGACACTGAGAAAGTAGGTCCAAAATTTACCCATTTATTTCCAATATATTTTCCATATTTTCCAATATATTTCTACGAGTAACTGAAAAATAATAATAATAAAAAAAAGTGACATTGACATTATGCTTGATGAAGCTTTTTACATCTACATGGTACAGTTATTTTTCTGCATTGTAATGTAATTTACAATGATTTACATATAAATAGATTTACATACAATCTACCTTTGATTTTAAAAGATGAAGAAATACCTTGTGACAGTGCAATAAAAAAGTGTATTATATGTTAAATACTGTATCAACCACCACAATAATTTTTTATTAATAACCTCCTCAGATTGAGAGGATATTTTTCATAGTCCCTACATTAAATATAAGTTACTGATAATTAGGAGCAATGGTAAAGCATATTCACTAAAATACTTTTTTTTTTTTTTTTTTTAATCAGAAGTGAAGCAAGGGAATGGACAAAGTCTCTGTCTTCACAAAAGACATTTGTGTTCTTTAATCTTTTTTTTTTTTTTCTCCTTTCATTAGCTCCTCGAGTTGTTATTTCAGCTATGATTGCTACTGTACTGGTCTCTTCTCCTTTCTAATTTATAACATCCAGATAATATAACAAATAATGGATGTCTGTTCATATTGCTTTTTGTTTCCCTCCTAGGTGCTGGATTAAATAATGGTCAGTGGCATTCTGTATTCTTCTCTGCCAAAAGAAATCGTATCAGCTTAATAGTGGACAACGATATGACCTCATCTGTTCATGCCTCCATATCTCTGCAAATTTATTCAGCAGACACATTCTACTTTGGAGGTGAAATATGTTGCTTATTTATGCTGGCAATATCACACAGTTAAATGTAAATTTTTGCAGACATAGATAATCAAATAGCAAGAATGTGTTGGCTTGCTTCAAGCCTTTGTTGTCTAACTCAGATATCTCTTAGAGTACTGTTTTTTCAGGAATTGCTATGATATTTTGGGGTTCACATTTCTTCAAAATTTTTATCATGCTAAGTAGAATAAATTACTACCCTAAATCCTTTGTCAATTTCTAGAACATAGTTTTCTCGTATTGTGCCCTGATAATTAAATTTAGCATGACTGACAATCAACAATCAATCAAATAGGTACACAAGTCTCTTGTTATGCAGCCATTATGTTGCTTGTATTGCTAAGTCTCTTTTTTCTTTTTTTTTTTTTTTTTTTTTTTAATATATATTTTCTGAGAATCTTCCACTGGGCTGACTTCAAGACTTCACCTGAAGTGCATGTTTACTTGTGCGAATATCTTCTTTCTCTTTAGGTCCATACTTATTCATTGCACAATACACAATCATAAAATATAAGTAAGAATAAGAATAAGAATTAAGAATAAGAAAGAATAATAAGAATAAGAATTAAGAATAAGAAAGAATAAGGATAAGGATAAGGATAAGGATAAGGATAAGGATAAGGATAAGGATAAGGATAAGGATAAGGATAAGGATAAGGATAAGGATAAGGATAAGGATAAGGATAAGGATAAGGATAAGGATAAGGATAAGGATAAGGATAAGGATAAGATAAGAAGAAGAAGAAGAAGAAGAAGAAGAAGAAAGAAGAAGAAGAAGAAGAAGAAGAAGAAGAAGAATAGACCACTGTAGCACAACAATACTATGTTTGGAGAATATAACCTCTCTCTAAAAAGTTTTGAGGTGTCCTATTTTCACTAGAGGCCTGAGCATGAGCTGGCAGTGCACCCAGGTGGCCAAGAAGGCCAAAAGCATCCTGGCTTATTTCAGGATTAGTGTATCTAGCAAGACCAGGAAGGTGGTTGTCCCTTTGTACTCTGCTCTGGTGAGGCTGCACCTCAAGTACTGTGTTCAGTTTTGGGCCCCTGAACACAAAAAGAACTTGAGGTCCTGGATGTCCAGAGAAGGGCTACAAAGCTGGTGAAGGGCCTGGAACACAAGTCCTAAGAGGAGTGGATAAGCGAACTGGGGTTGTTTAGTCTGGAGAAGAGAAGGTTCACGGGAGACCTTACTGCTCTCTACATCTACCTAAAAGGAAGTTGTGGGGAGCTGGGGATCAGCCTCTTCGCACAGATAACCAGTGACAGAACTAGAGGGAAAGGCCTTAAGTTGCAGCAGGGGAGGTTCAGTTTGGAAATTAGGAGACATTTCTTCTCAGAAAGAGTAGTGAGGCACTGGAACAGGTTGCCCAGGAATTTGGTGGCGTCACCATCCCTGCAAGTGTTTAAGCAAAGGTTGGATGTGGAACTTAGGGACATGGTTTAGTGGGTGATATCAGTAGTAGGGTGATGGTTGGACCAGATGATCTTGGAGGTCTTTTCCAACCTCAATGATTCTATGACTCTATGATTCTATGGTAATTCTTTTTAAGCATAAATTCATCAAATGACTTTGTCATTAATATGTTTATTGATATAATTGTACAGGTTGTGATAAACCTAGATATGTTAGGAATGGAGTGCATAATAGCAACATTAGACAGAATCTGAATACATTATTTAACTCTCCCTTAAAGCTTCATCTCTTACTAGTTTACGACTAAACAATTTATTAAAAATAATAATAAAAAAATGAATGCATACAAATCAGAATGTGTATAAAAAACTAAATGCATCTGGACCAAGTCATTGTCCACAGATTAGTTCCCTTGGGGGAAAAAAATAATAAAATAATAAAATAAAATAAAATAAAATAAAATAAAATAAAATAAAATAAAATAAAATAAAATAAAATAAAATAAAATAAAATAAAATAAAAAAATAAAAAATGCTCACAAGCAGAAAGTAGATCTAGGAATTGATAACAGACCATATGTGGATTTTTTAGATCTGGTATCTAGCCTTCGCTAGTAAAGAGACATCCTGAACTGATTGGTAATCAGAGAAAGATACAGAATATGGATGTTGAATAGCAAGAAACCTTTTGTAGATTTTTATTTCTACATGGGTCCAGGTTCCCACATTTCTGAATACACCAGTGAACATTTCCATATTCCACCATCAAAATGTGTACAGTGCATTTCCAAGTTTATACACATATTTAGCATTTTTCTTTATGCTGGCTGTTTAAATATGAATAAGAGTCTTCCAGAAGAGATGCTCTGGGGACACAATGGTCATTTTACTCGTTTTAAAGAATACAGAATATGCAAAAAAATGCAGAAATTTATCTGAGGAAATGTGATAAACATGAAGGCAATTTAGAATTATGTCAGCATAACTCCTAGTCAAAAATACATGACAGCTCTCAGATCATGGAATAATAACTTTGCAGCTATAAGGGAAAAAAGACATTATTTAAATTTGCAATAAGCACATAGATTAAATTTAATTATTAAACTATTTCTTTCTGTTATTAATATTTGGCCCATAGTAATAAGGAATCTCACTTTCAGTAATAGTCATTATACGTCGACTTTTCTCTTACAAATTCAGAAGACAAAGTTTTAAAAATACAAATAATAAGAAAAATCTGAGGCAACATCTTTTTGAACCCAGAAGTTAGAGATGTAAACTTTTTCTGCATTCACCTATTTTATTTTATTTTATTTTATTTTATTTTATTTTATTTTATTTTATTTTATTTTATTTTATTTTATTTTATTTTATTTTATTTTATTTTATTTTTTGATATGGACTCCCCTGGAAGTCTTTCACTCTCAAATGAATGTCAGTTTTGTTTTTGTTTTTTACCAAAAATTACAGATTTTTGTTTGTTTGTTTGTTTGTTTTTAACATTTTATTATATAGTGCTATAGAGAATTTCTTTAAGACCTGTAATTGATTTATCAAAATATTCGTTATATTGTAAGGTTGCTCTGTTCCTGTTTAGATTTTACCAAATCCACAGATTTGTTATTCTTACAGCAATATGCAAAGTAGTTAATATACATTTTCCTTTAGAAAGATAATAACAGGTTTGAACAGTTTGGTACCTCACCAGAGAAAAAGACACTGAGAATTTATTTACTTATTTTACTTATTTTACTTATTTTATGTCACTTAGTCATTTTCTACTATACACTTCTTAAAAATATATCAATTTTATTTATGTTTTTGCATATTCCTTTGAATAGATCTACCAGTTTCCATTGTCATTTTGCTTCCTGGAAAAATAAATCTCTGCACATTCTTTGCAGAACTTCAGAAAATACCCATTTGCTCTGTGAAACAGAAAAGTACCTTAACAGTCTCTGCTTCCAAACATCATGAAACAAGAAACTCTTTGAATATTGTAAAACAAACAGTAGTATTGTTTGATTAAGATCAAATATGGCCCTTACTCCAGAATAAATATTGACCTTTGGAAGAAAGACAAAGATAAAAAGGCATATTTTATCATACAGTGTTCAGCTATCATAGGGAAAAACTTTTCAATTATTATGGTTTAAATCAAATCAGCTTTTCTTAATAATGTTTATTTAACTGGTAATAAGCAAATTGCATTTCAGGATTGTTATCAGTAAAATAATATACAAATTACTGTACTACATACTTTCAGAATATCAATCATAGATAGAAACTCCAGAGGTTGCCTAGTCCAGTCTCCTGCTCAAAACCAATCTGATTAGATCAGGATGTAGATCAGATTATGCACCTCTGAGCATGGAAATCTCCCTAACTTGTTCCTGTATTGAACACCTTCATGCTTAAAAAAAAATATATGTTTATTTTTGCTGATATGTAATTTGAATTTGCCATTTCTGATTTTTATCTTTTTCCTCTCCTCTAATCACTGTAGACTTCCAGAAAGAGACTGTCTCCTTCCCTGCATCTCCTTCTCAGATATCTTTACCTTTCTGTCTTAAGCCTGGTCAGACCCAGCTCTCTCAGCACCTTAAAATACATCTTGTCCATTAGGTTCCTTGACCATCTTTGTCACCTCACTCAAGGATATCAATGTATTTTGTTTATTGGGAAGTCCAGAACTGGACATGGCACTCCAAATGTGGTCTCACAGTTGCCAAAGAGAGGGAAAGACCACTTGTCTAGACTTGCTGGCACTACTTTTGGTAATGCCATTAGCCTTCTGTGCCATAAATGTCTCATGGTGCATCTGTTGTCCATCAGGACACCAAGACTTCCTCTGTGGATCCACCTCTTAGCAGTAGCCTGCACTGTTGCACGGGCTTATTTTATCTTTTATCTCAGAAGAAACACCTTGTACTTGTTTTTGCTAAACTTTATGGTATTTCTGTCACCCCTTTTCTTCTGCCTGCCTGGTTGCTGCCTTGCCCTCCAGCATATTTACCCCTTCCCCCAACTTAGTATCAGTCACAAGCTTTCTGGGAGTGCACTCTATCCTGTCTTCCCTACTATTAATAAAGACTTTAAACAGACCGATGCCTGAAAGACCACTGAGCATCAGCTAGACTTTCATTATTGATTGTCCACTTACCCACTGACATCTCATCAATCCAATGATGTGGAAACTACAGAAAACTGTTGATGGTTTTGCTAAAGTCAAAGTATACAGTATTTACTGCTCTCCCCCCTGTCCACTGTGCCTGTTGTCAAAAAAAAAAAAAAAAAAAAAAAAAAAGAGGAGTTTTGTCAGGCATGATTTGGCCTTGGTTAATCCATGTCAGTTGTCTCTAATTACCCTTTTTGTATGTCACATAGCATATAAGAGGATTTGCTCCATGAACTTTACAGGTAGTGAGGAAAGGCTGACTAGTCCCTGGCTCTCTGGGCCCTAATTCTTGGCATTCTTGAAAGTGAGCGCAACATTTTCCAGTCATCAAGAAGCTCACCTAATTACCAAATTATTTTAAGGATTAAAATGTTAGTAGTTTAACAGTGACAACATTGGATGTTGCGATGATATTGGCCAGCTCTTCCAGTGCTTTCAGACAGCTCTTTTTTTTTTTTTTTTTTTTTTTTTTTTGTCTTCTGTGGCTACTACAGCCCTACTTCATACTTTGCTGGTAAAGACAAGAGAAGTCTTTACCAATCAAAACTGAAGAAAAAAGGCCTCAGGCAATTCTGCAGTTCCCACGGCCCTAGGTCCTTGTCATTTGATCCTCAAAACATGTCCCTGAACAAACCAACATGGGCTCTTCTGAAATCCATAGCTGTACTTCTGTGTTTGTTTTCTTGCTTTCTCACTGTCTTGTCTGTGGATCTTAAACTCCACAGTCTCATGTTTGATGCAACAAAGACTAGTCTTGATATTCCCATCTTCATTTTTTAACTTATCTAGGAGCAGAAGTTTTCAATAAAGCACCTTTCCTAGTTGGTTCATTGAAAATTGCCCTCATTTTTCAGAAATCTTCTGGATAGTTTGATGAAGAAAACCACTTGTACTTTGTAGCTCATTTCCTTTGACTTCAGTTATGACTTGAAATTTGTCCAGATCACAGTCAGCCTGCATTATAACCCAACATTTTGTGACTAAGATCATTTGGTGAATCTGTTCACATCTTGGTTCCATTAATTATTTTGGAACTGCTGTTTGGGTTATGCTGTACCCTGTAGCACTGATTTGCACATACAGTAAGATTGAACAGCCTTATTTCTTTACTCTTGTACAGACGTGCCAAATCAAAAGTGTTTCTGGATAAACCTGACCACAAAATTTGCTACGCCTAAAAATTACCAAATTCTGGTATATATTTTATTTTCATTAAAATATTTTTCAGCTCCAGGATTTATGTTTCTCTCAGGCTGTCCAAACAGTGGAAACAATTCTGAATGTAAAAGCTCATTTGGTGGCTTTCAAGGATGTATGCGACTCATTTCTATTGGCAACAAAGCAGTGGATATGAATTCAGTTCAGAAAAATATTTTTGGCAATTTCAGCGATCTTCAGATAGATTTATGTGGCATTATAGACAGGTAAGAAAATTATATAATTTATTTATATACTTAATTTATTGTTGTTATTGTTTCAAATACTGACCTCATGACCAGGAACAAAATGCTTACAAAATTGCATGCTTCTTTCACAAACATTCAAAGGTGCAGAAGATTTTCAGTATACATAGAAAAGCAAATAGAAGGTGTTGTTGCGCTGCAAATAATTTTCCAGTATCTGAGGTTAAAAATATTTGATGTTTCTGACTATTTTTTATTTTTTTGTTGTTGTCGTTGCTTGTTTTGTAACAGTGTAGACACAAATCTCTTTCTCTGACATTTGAAATCCCATTCATCATTTGAAATCCTATGCTCTTTACAAATGATTGCTCTTTCTATATTCTACCCATCCAGAAACATAGTGGAAACATCCTCACAAACAATGAGCAATCTTTATTTTATGCTCAGGTCAGGACTAATTGTAACTAGTGTGAGAGGGTATTTTTTATTTTTTTTTTAAGAATGACCAGTTTTAATGCCTCCCTTTGGAAGGAGGAAAGTCTATACACCTTCTCCAAAATAGAACAAGTGATAGGAATTGGGGTGACTGGGGTGTTGCGATAGATGGTTACAGGCTCTTCAGGAGGGACAGGCAGGGTAGGCGAGGTGGTGGGGTGGCGATGTATGTGAAGCAGGGGCTGGACTGTGTGGAACTTCAGGTTGGCTATGGCAAAGTTGAGAGCCTCTGGGTAAGGATCAAGGGACGAACGAATAAAGGGGATCTCGTTGTGGGAGTCTATTACAGACCGCTTGGCCAGGACGATAGCGCCGATAAATTATTCTTTACAGAACTAAGAGAGGCCTCAAGATTAACTCCCCTTGTCCTTATGGGGAACTTCAACTTGCCAGACGTTAACTGGGAGTGCCACACGGCTGACACAAGCAAGTCCAGGAGGTTCATGAAGCACCTAGATGATAACTTCTTGGTGCAGGTGCTAACGGAGCCAACTAGGAAAGTTGCCCTCCTAGACCTGTTGCTAGAAAACAGAGAGGGTCTGGTGGGAGATGTGGTGATTGGTGGTCGCCTTGGTCATAGCGACCATGAAGTGGTTGAGTTCAAAATTTATGGTGACAGAAGGAAAAGTGCCACCAAAACCTCATCCCTAGATATGGGGAAAGCGGACTTCAGGCTGCTCAGGGAACTAGTCAGCAAGGTCCCCTGGGAAGCTGCTCTTGAAGGCCTCGATGTCCACCAGTACTGGTCATTCTTTAAGCGATGCCTCCTAGAAGCACAAGATCAGCCAATTCCGAAATATCGCAAGTCAGGCAGGCGGGGCAGGAGGTCGGCGTGGCTGACCAGGAACATTCTAATGGAGATTAGGCGGAAACAGAGGGTGTTTCACTACTGGAAGGAGGGCCAGCTGTCCTGGAAAGAATACAAGGATGCTGTTCGTGTTTGTAGGGAGAAAATTCGTGTGGCTAAAGCACACCTAGAGTTGAAGCTGGCTGTGTCTGTGAGAGAAAAAAAAGGGTTTTTTTAGATATGTGAATGGAAAAAGGAGAACTAAAGAATACATAGGGCCGCTCCTTGATAGGGAAGGTCTTCTCACAGACAACGACATAGGCAAAGCAGAGATGCTTAACACCTTCTTTGCCTCTGTCTTCAATGCCGATGATGGGCTTTGGGACCCAGGGTGCCCTGAGCTGGAGGACCGGGACGGTGGGGATGACAAACTCCCAACCGACCCTGAACGTGCGCGGGATTTGCTACTCCACCTGGATCCCTACAAGTCCATGGGTCCGGATGGGATTCATCCCCGGGTGCTGAAAGAGCTGGCGGACATCATCGCAGAACCTCTCTCAATTATTTTTCAACAATCCTGGGAATCTGGAGAGGTCCTGGTAGACTGGAAGCTGGCAAATGTTGTGCCGATTTTCAAGAAGGGTCAGAAAGAAGACCCTAGCAATTACAGGCCTGTCAGTCTCACGTCAGTGCCTGGTAAAATCATGGAGAAGATGGTTCTCGAACTTATTGAGGCGCACCTGGGGGACAAAGCAGTCATTGGTCCCAGCCAGCATGGGTTTGTGAAGGGTAGGTCCTGCCTAAGTAACCTGATTTCCTTTTATAAGATCACCTGTATGGTGGATTATGTGTAATTTTCATTACACTGTGTTTTTTGTTTGTTTGTTGTTGTTAGTAGTAAGAATGAGGAGCAGAGTCAGGTTTAAAGAATGATATTCTTTAGTTGAACACTTAAATGGAGATCTAAACAAGAATTTGAATAGAAAATATCAAGAAATTGACTGATAAGTTAATTGATACTGACTACTTTCTCTTTTTAACATAGATATTTGAATCTGTATGTATGTATATAACTAGGGAGCACTCAAAATGTTAAACTCAGAGCTGTGATTTGTGAACAATCACTTGCTCCATAATTAAATAGACATGTTATGAAATAAATTCAGAGAAAGTGGTATGTTTTACATATTCTGGTGCATAGTAAAGCATTTACTATATGTTGGTTTTATAAAAAAAAAATAATTATTATTATAATAAAATAAAAAATTGTGACTTTTATATATAAAGTTAGGGGGTCCTAGCACACAGAAATATAGAATTATTTACAGTGTTCCAGATGGCATGGCATTTGCACTGAGCAATTGTATTGTGTTTATAAGGCAAGGTTTTTGTAGTGAGGGGCTGCAGTGGTGGCCTGTGTAAGATGGGTCCAGAAGCTACCCCATGTTTGATAAGGGCCAGTTTCAGCTGCCTCCAAAGGAACCCACCACTGTCCAATAAGCAATGTGGGTTGTGCCTCTGTGAGTGCAGATTTAAGAAAGGGAAAAAAAAAAATGTAAGCAATAGCAGCTGAGAGAATGAGGAGAGATAAACAGACCAGCAGACACCGAAGTTAGAGCAGAAGGTGCAGGAGGGGCTCCACGTGCTTGAGCAGAAGTTCCCCTGCAGCCTGTGAAGAAGCCCAGGGTGGGGCCTGCTGTCCCCCTGCAATCCATGGGTCCCACGGCAGAGCAGGAAACACTGCAGCCCATGGAGGAGCCCCTGGTGGAGCAGGTGGATGTGGCCTGAAGGAGGCTGCGGCACATGGAGAGCCCCCGCAGGAGTACACGCCAGGCCAGAGCTGCAGCCCATGGAGAGGAACCCACAGAGGATCAGTGGGGTCTGGGGGGAGCTGCCGCCCACCTGTGCTGGAGCAGTTTACTCCTGACAGATGGACCCCATGGTACAGATCCATATTTGGAGCAGTTTTTGAAGAACTCCTGCGTGTTGGAAGTCCCCTCAGGATCAGTTCAGGAAGGACGGCATCCAGTGGGAGCGACCCCATGCTGGAGCAGGGACAGAGAATGACCGCTAAGTGTTGAGAGATGAACTGTGTTCAGAGATGAAGTGTTAAGGACTGACCACAACCCCCATTCTCCTGTGACACTTGGTGGAAGGAGGTAGAAGATGTTGGATGGGACGGGGAGGTATTTTTTGTTTGTTTGGGGTTTCTCAGTGCTCTAGCCTGTAAGTAATAAGTGATAAATTTTATTAATCCCCCGATGCTCCATGTTTTGCTTATTTTTATATTCCTTTTTTTCTGTAATGATAACTGTTGAGTGATCTTATATTCTTATCTCAACCCTTGACCGTTTTCCTTCATATTTTCTCCCCCTTTCCCTTTGAGGAAGGGGAATGAGAAAATGGTTGTGATGGAGTTTGGCTGCCCAGCTGAGTAAAACCACTACAGTAGTGCAAGTTTTTTTAGAATTTTAGCCTACCCATTTAACTTTTTGTTGCTGTACCAACTGTACTGTACCAAGAATGTTATATAGATATATATATAGCCTTTCTTATAAGATAGGGTTTTTTTGTTTGTTTGTTTGTTTGTTTGTTTTTTGTTTTGTGCATGTGTGTCTATCAAAAACATAAAAATATTTTGTTGTTGCTGTTGTTTGGGCTTTTGTATACCACTTAAACTTCCCAAACAGTCTTTTCCACAATGTTTTCATTAGCTTTCTGACACAATATTAATCCTTTTCTTTCTGAATTTCAAATTTCACAATGATTGTCATATGCCTTCCTACCTTAACAAAATAGAAGTTAATTAAATTGATGAAAATAAATTGAATTATGTACTTCATATTTTATTTGAAAATAAACCATTTCTTTAGAAGCATTCCTGGTCTTGTATTAGCCTGTCTGGGAAAAAGTGTTTCTTTCAATTTTCTTCACATGTCCCATTGCCTTTGCTGTCTGTTTGATTCTGCAAAATGTGCTGTTTTGTTCCATTATCTGGAACAAAATTCAAGTTTCTCTTTCCGCAACTATTTCTACATCTCACCATAAACGCAGATGATAACATGTATTCTCCTCTTCTGTCACCTTTAAAATTTCTTACACATATTAACAGTTTTCAATAGCCTTTATAATTTTTTACATCCTATAATTTTGAGACAATGGTCTCACACTATAATGATTTCTACATGTCTTTAGTTTTTCAAGTACTCAGTGTTTTTGCCACTACGATCCAAATGGTAGAAACTTTTCCTAGAGCTGAGGACAAGCATACAACTTACTTATCTTTGACTCATCGTAAGAGTCACATTTACAAGTTATTTACATTTTCAAAATATTGAAATGCCATCCAAATACTGATTGCTTTTATATTAGAAAAAGTGTTGAAATTTTTTTTTTTAATGTTTTACACATATATAGTGCATGAATACAAATAAAAATTACCGTTCGAATAGTGATCTGAAATTAGATGTAATGATAAACTGAAAATAACTATATTGACTGCATTCTGTATCTTTCATGTATAAACATTCAGCATAAAGGAAGTGTTCTTTATATTTAGTCTTTATTGACAGATGAATAATTATTCATTTATTCATTTTCATGTATTATTCTGTTATTTTTAAACAAGCAAAAACTCCCAACCGTTTCCGTATTTTTTTTTCCTTAGATCCAAAACCTTTCTAATTCCTTCTCGTATGTTTCTAATATGATGACTCTCACATGCCTTCTTCATTTAGCCTTTTCATTGTCTAATATCTTTATATTGCTTCATTATTCATATTCCTCTTGGGCATGCAAATAATTCTCTTAATATATTTCTGTTTAATATTCTTTCTCTCAGGTCCTTTGTATATATTGGTTTAATAACTACTAATTGTGCATAAACAAATGATAAAATAACTTTAAATTAATAGGCCAAAATGTCATTCTAAATGCTTTACAAATTTAGCATATTTAATCTCTGAAGAGAGAGTACCAGATAAATCTATTATAATTACATCAAGCCTTGCACAGGAACATGATTTCCTATTGGGAATTACTGCTTTTAGTGTCTTGGCAGCAGTATGTTGTATAAACAAACAAACAAACAAATACACACCAGAATAGCAGGGTATGTAGTGATAAAACAAGGAGTAATGGTTTTAAACTAAAAAAGCATAAATTTAGATTAGATATTAGGAAAAAAATTGTTACTGTGGTGGTGGTGAGGCACAGGAACAGGTTGTCCAGAGAAGTTGTGGGTGCCCTACACCTTAAGGTGAAGTTGGATAGAGTTTTGAGCAACCTATTATGAAGGTGTTCCTTGTCATGGTGGGGGGAATGGGAGGGGAAATTAGATGATCTTCAAGGTCCCTTTCAATACAAAGCATTTTATGGGTCTATAAAGTAATAGCTATATATGTGTATATAAAAAAGACAGTGGCCCTGGGAATTTTTTCTCTTATAATAAATAAATAATAAATATACAACAGTAATTAAATTTGTAGCAATTAATTTTTATTTCCAAAAAAATAGATTTTTCTTGGTATAGTCTCACAAGTTTATTGCATAATTAGTATCTTTCTGATAGGTAATAAGAATAGGGGGAAAGCTGAAGAGAAAATATTTTTCTAGTCGTGTTAAAGATGTCTTCTTCAAAAAGACTGAAGAATATCTTCATTCATGTTGTTATATGTTGTATGCAAATATAACATATGTTATATGCAAAATCATGTTTCATGATTTTGCTTCTACTGATAAGTGTAAGTGCCAAGTAAGAGAAAGGAAAACAGAGTGAGAATGCTCTTTGTTTCTCGTTTTAGATGCTTGCCTAATTACTGTGAACATGGTGGAGAATGTTCACAGACCTGGAACAGCTTCTACTGTAACTGTACCAATACTGGTTACAAGGGAGCTACTTGTCACTATCGTAAGTATAAGATTTTTCTAGCTGTTTTTGTTTGTCATAGATTCATCCTTCCCCTCTTTTTCTTTCCTCCTGGAAGTGTGACATCTGTATTAATCATTTATATTAGATTTTTTTTCTGCCATGTAAAGAAAATGCCATGCCATTCAGAAGCTAGTTCAAACAAAGGCCTTGAGTATTCGAAATCTGTTAACAGAATAAACTCATTGTTTGTTTGTGTCTGTTTCATGTTTTAATAGGTTACATGAGATGGTTGGTAATATCTTCTGTCCATAGTTCCACCGTATGAATCAGCAAATCATTCATAATTCTGTTTATGACAAGAATATATATATATATATGTAGACAATAGGACTACAGTCTTGTGTAAACATCATCACATGCATGAACCTATATTTTTATAGTTTGTTGAATCAGTGAGCAGGTTAGGTGATATTCCAGTAGGGTGAATTCAACAAAACTGGCATAACAAAACAAATAAACAAAAAGATCACCTATTAAATCTTGCTTGGATAAACTCAACAACTGTGATGACTTTTCAAATAGTACACATGCTTTTGAATACCACAGTGCATAATCTATACCTATGAGAAGAGTAAACTGAAGATGAGTTTACTTTTATTTTTTTATTATTTTTTTTTAGTTTAGATCAACATTATCTAAACCTTATAATTATTTTTTTCCTGAATGTAGTGACTCCTTCTTTTTGATAGAGTATTTTCAAATCTTGTTGTTGTTATAGCAGACAATCCAGAAAAGAATCACTATAACAGTATGACTTTGATTGCTATGGATGAGTTGGCTAATGTGGTCTAGTTGTGGAATTCTCATTGATTACATGTGTAATGACAGATTTGAAGTCAGTAGTTCATTCTCCAGGTTTTTGATCATAAAGTAGTTGTCACAATCTTTTCTTCAGGAGTTAACTGATATAAAACATACATGACGTGGGAATGACAAGCTGCCATTTTGTCTGTTTATTTTGTTCTTTTATTTCAGCCTCTGATAACTTATTTACCATGACATTACTATGTAAAGAAAAAGAGAAGAAAACATGAACCATGAAAGTCAAAGAATACTAGGAAACAATTAGAATATCTAGGAACACTGCTTACTTTTTGCTGTATGTAAAGGCATGTAAATAAATGTCAGATTTAATTGAGACTGTTAAAGCTTGGCTTCTCAAAATCTGATTCCCAAGGTCTAAATGATACTCTTAGCTTTCACATTACATGACTGTTTCTAAACCCCCCCTTTTTTTTTTTCTTTTTAAATCTATATTTCAATGTTTCCTTCCTGAAATTTCCAGCCTGAAATACAGAAGAAAATACTCAAAAATGTTCCTTGTGATCATCCCTCTATATATAATTAAATGTACTTCACAAATTCAAATGGAAGTAAAACTTCATGTGATTTCTTCTGTATTCTTTAGCTTTGAATGTACACAACTTCTTTCCCCCATACAAAGGCCCCAAACAGTTTTATTTTTATTCACAGAATAAAGTATAGCGCGATGCTATTGCATTTATGATGTTCTTTTACAGCTATCTACGAACAATCATGTGAATCCTATAAGCACAGAGGGAACACTTCAGGCTTTTACAATATCGATTCAGATGGAAGTGGCCCCTTGGGACCGTTTCTTGTATACTGTAATATGACAGGTGAGGTGATAAACTGTGTTAACTCTCTGTTGGGTCTGTATACATGCTCATTATATTGAAGTAGAGTTTATTAAGCAAGAAGCCTCGGTAGCTCACAATTTTAACATATAGATGCACAACAAAATGAAGGTGACTCCTTGGGTCAGAATACCAGGCAAAGAATTAGGCATAGAAATTAAAATAATAACAGGATTTAGGCTGTAAATCTAAAACTTGTTGTTGTGCTTTGCATAAGTGGGACATTTGTTCCATAAGGAGAGAATGCCATGCTAGTTCATTTTTTGGGAGCAGCTTTGTTTTCATTGTGGTTACAGCCTATATGAGGACTTTTAAATAAATTAGGAACATGTTATGTTTTATGAGAATACTACTGACTTTTCCCTGAAGGCTTCTGAAAAATTATAATTCAGAACTGGCCTTCGTTTGATGTAAGGAATACAGACATTAAGATTCATTTTTCAGACAATTAGTAGATCTTTTGGAGAATGAAAATTCAACCAGTAAGATTCTCACAGCCTCAATTTCAAGCACACAACCTCCTTTTCTTTATATGTGACTACATCGGTAGAAGTTTTAGATGTCAGTTTGTTGTCAGTCAGACTGTTAACAAACAGTTTAATTTGTCTATGCATGCCTATCAATGTATGTCCTTCCAATTAAACTACATTTAAATTTATTTTTGAAAATTAGTATTACTTTATTTGTAGTTGTTTCATTTTCTTTAGTTTCTCCTTATTTGATCTTCTTCCAGTAAAAAGGATTAAATCACTTAGTTATTTCATTTAAAAAGATATATTGTGACAATTCATTTTTACATTTTTAACTGTACAAAAGATTACTTGAATAAGCTATGATTGAATTTGGCTCATTTATGTCCTAAGTGCTGAAATTTTACTTATAAACCTTTTCATAATCTTGTGATTTGGGTTTTTAAACAATTTTTGTAAACTACATATAGCCTGCTCTGAGGAACCTGCTTTGGCAGGGGGGTTGGGCCCGATGATCTTTCGAAGTCCAATCCAACCCCTACAGTTCTGTGATTCTGTGATTACTGCAAAATAATCACAGTCACATGTATTTCTTGAGAGACTGACAGGACTGTCTGCCAATAGCATTAGTTGAATTTCACAGCAGTATAAAATTCTTTAGATCATATATATTCTTTAGATTTATACATACTGAAACAATAGAAATTCTTAGTTTTAATCAATCTGTGTAATTTAACTTGTCTTACCATCTCAGCTCCTGATTTTGACTTATGCAGTAGGCTGTGTTAGCTCACAGAAAACACACTTCAGATTGGCACAGACCCTTAAAAAGAAATATCCTTGTGTCCTATGAGACTAAACGAAATGAAATAATCCTGGCAGAAAGAAGTTTTTTTGGCGTTTCTTTTTTTTTTTTTTTTTTTTTTTTTTTAATATGTGTCAGGTGTGTCTGTAGCATCTGATGTGTGTCCATGAACAGCTGTTACAGTTTTCCTCAGTCACTTCCTATTCATCACATTAAGAAAACTTTGTTGATCAGTTCTTCATCTTAGGATGCAGACAGGATGCATCCTTTCCCAGTTTTCTCATAACTGATATCGTCTTTTCCCACCAGAGGCAGGGAATGCATATGTCCACATTTCTTGCAGCACTGCCTGGACATTCATGTAGCTTTATATTTTGGCAGATGGTAGGCACCTTTCCCCACTTTTATTTTTGGAGGTCAATTTCAGTATGAAAAGCCAGCAGCCCACAGTGGTAGTTAAGACGACACATTTTCAGTGATGTGCTTTTATTTTTCTTTTTTAATGTAGGGATTTGAAAATGTGTGTGAGTGTGATAGGTGATCAGTTTGTCTCTTAATGTTTGTATTCAGCATAGCCTTTAAATATGTTTTTGTTCATGTGCATGTACAGAAATAAATGTTTGCTTTTTTTTTTTTTTTATACCATGAGCATATGCTTAATAGTATCATGTAATTTGGCGAAAATTAGGTAAGGATAAAGTTGTTTAAGTAGACCCCTTTTTGTATTGTATTTTTGAACAGGTATCTCACTGCGATGTTTCCTCAAGTTTTCTGATGAATACTTATTCTTTAAGTGACTGCCAGTTCTTTGCTTATTATAGACATCTTCCAGTGTCGACCGCGTGTGGTCTGTAGGATATTAAATAAAGCACAACTCTGTGAAACAGTTAGAAATATTAACTAACATTCTAATATTCATACTAATATTAGAATTTTAGCAATTTTCTATAATTGAAGCCACTGATGATAGCAATATTTATTATAACAATTGAATCTATTGATGATAACAGTATTACTACCGTACTTAAATATATTTCTCATGACTTCTTAAAATGCATTCGTTATTAAATTACAAAAATATCACAAAGAGGAATCTACATTTGACTTGACTGCCCCAACCTGGCTTTACCTGAGAGCTTACAAACCCCTACCTTGACATGGATTTCAGTCATGGGGGTTAGATGCTCACAGGCACAAACTCAGTGTGTCTCTTCATACAGCATAAACTCAATATTTCTCTTTTCATACCTAAGCAGATTTGTCCAAAGTACAAAACAGCATTAACATGTTAGTCTTTATCAGCCACCCATATTTGAGTTATCTTCCATTATATATATTGATATATTATTTAATTATATATATTTATATCAATATATATCAATATATACAATTATATAATTGTATATATTATTACATAATATATATGTATATTACATATATATTTTTGTATATATTATATTATACATGTATATAATGTATACAATTATATAATTGTATATATTGATATATTATATATATCTTATAAAGAAACTGAGGGAGTAATCTCTGTACACACAAGAAATGTGTCTGATTTTTTCTCTGAAAAAACAAGGAGAGTGTCTGATATTCCTTGAATGCAAACTATAAGTAAGGCTGAGTGACCAATGCATTCCTGTGCTGTTGTGAAGCCCTTCTTGTTGTTCTCGATGTCCTTGGACAGATGCCCCCTACGTGGGCATTAGGTTTACTAACTTTATCCCTGGCTGCTCAAACAATGTCTCTGGGTCCCTCTTCCTTTCAGGGCTTTATCCCATGGTACTCCACCAAGCAGATTCTTGAAGAGGTCAAAGTCTCAAAGTCTGCTCTTCTGAAGTCAAAGCATCCCCAGGCAGAGTTCCGAATACTCCAGCTGGTCACTGACATAGAGAGCAAAAACCCCTCCTTGTCTCCCCTGAACATCTTTCCAAAAAAAATGTATCCTTCCATTCCAACACTCCAGTCATCCCACTATGTCTCTGTAAGGCCAGTAAGATCAGAGGCCTGCAGGCATATGTACTCTTGTTTATTCCCCATACTGTGCCTGTTTGCATACAAGTACTTAAAAGGTGCACCTCAGCAGGGGCACCTCACTTAGGAAGCAGTGTTCCTAGAAAGTATTTGGGGGATTTCTCCATAATGGTTCCTTCTAAGCATTTCATTACTAACCTTCAAGTGCTGGAATGTACTCTCATGGCCCTGAGGCTGGGCTAAAAATTCCAGTTCCCCCTGCTTATTACCATGATACGGGTATTTCTGTAGAGGCATTTAAATTGAGCTCCCGATGAAACTCTTTTTGCTATCTATGGACAGCCATTGCTGACATCTTAACATTCCTTAAAATTGTTAAGAAATGAGTGGGTTGATACTCCTCTCTCCTGGTGGATTTAATTTAAAATTTTCTTCATAAGCTTGGAAAGTCTGGAACTCAAGTTGTTCTTTCCCTCCTCCAAGAGATAGACCCCATCTGACCTCAGTAGACCATGTTTCTCAAAGCAAATCCCATGGTCTAAGTAGCCAAATCCTTGGCCATGGCACCAGTCCCATAACCATTTGTTGATGATTAAAGTAGTTAGCTAATGGCTTCCAGTAGCTTTTAAGGCAAAAGCTACTATGCTTTTTGCATAGTGTTAAGTTTTTACAATTAAAATTCTTTCAACCATTATTATAGAAAGTTAAAAGACTTCTAATGCAAGACTATCAGTGACATCAACATAATTGAAAAGCTATTAAACTGCTTGGTTGCTCAGTGCAGTAGAATAGCTGCAAGTTAGAGAAGGTTGATTTCACAGCAGACTGCATACCTTAACACGTACCTTTTATAAGTGTACAATGTATTGTTTATCATTCAAACATTTGAATTATATTTATATGCAAGTATTTTCTGCTCTTTTATTATAAGAGCATCACACTAGAAGATATACGTATATATATTAAGTAACATCAGGGGTACTGAATATTTGCTACTAGTTCATGAAAAACAAACAAAAACTCATTGAAACAGTTCAATTGCTTCTAGAATAAATATATATATATTTAATATTTTGTATGTCCCCATTTTAAATGAATCTTAAAACCTTTCTACATAATGCCATAAAGCAGAGAGCTGACTTACCCAGCAGTATCTGAGCTATGTGTTTTTCAGGAAAATGCAGCTCTTAATTCTGAACTACTACTTCATCGTGTTACAGTTCTGAGTCAAGAAGGCATAATTTGAAGGGTGCCAAAAATCAATATTACCTTGGGTATTTTGAGGCGTCTCTCTGTTGAACTATGAAAGCTTTCAGAGGGGTTTCTTAATTCTTGACTAAATACAGATTTTGAATAGTATTGCAAATAAAGATTAACCTTTGATTTTAGATGGTTAGAAACACTTTCACATGACCCAAGTTTTATACTAAATACAGTATCTGCAAGCTCCTGCTTCTTTATGTAGCAGCAGGACAGCATGTAATTTATTTCAAGAGGAATCACTTAATTTCAATTTCAATGTCAAATGTACTATTGTTATAATGTGGGATGGAATTTAGTGTTATTTCATAAACAATTTAAGCCTAGAAAAAAATAATAGCGATAGTAACTGTCCTTCTTTCCTTCCTTCTTCCCTTCCTCTTTCCTAAGAAAAGAGAAAGAATTGTTTATTGTTTTCTTTCTCAATAAACATAATAAGCTGAATGCCAGTTACAGACACATTGTGGTAATGTACTTATAAATAGAAGCAATGATTAATTGGTTTCATTTTTGCTACATGATTTATGTCTCTGCTTCATAATGCACAAATGCATTTTTTGTAATCAGAGAAATCTCTTTCAAGTTTGGTGTATTTGATCATACTTTTCTTTATGTTTACCATTACTAACTTATGCGACTACTTCAGATTCTTTATTATTTTTCACGTGTTTTGAAAGATGCAACATGGACAATTATACAGCACAACAACACCAACTTAACCAGAGTCAAAAGTGCTAATCGAGAGAACCCACACACTGTGTTTTTCAAGTACTCTGCCAGCCTAGACCAGCTTCAAGCTGCAATTAACCATGCAGAACACTGTGAACAGGAGCTTGCTTACCACTGCAAAAAATCAAGGCTTTTAGATAAGACAGGTAAGTAAAGCAGACAAATCTTGTTATGGTGCATACTGTGTTTTATTTCACTGTCTCTAGTAAAGGTATTTATTTCTATCAAGGTTATGGCATTTTGCTACACTGGAATAAGAACGACTTCATTAAGCTAGTACTCAGAATCCTGTAAATTACCAAGAGGTATTTGAACAGGAAAAACACTACTACTCTGGTAGTCTGATTTCCAAGTGTTTTAAATATTACTGAGGGAATTACTTAGGAAACATCTCTTTCAAAGGACACAAACTAAAACATAGATATCAGCAGTTTATTGCTGAATGTTTTTTGAACAGTCATTGTCTGTATAATAGGTGCTTTATGTAAAGCACTGATAACATTAAATTTCCACAGTCCAATAAAATCGATCATAGGAAAAGAAACGATAGATAAATTGTGGATGAATGCAAATATACAAACAAGCAGAAACATAGATATGAGTGGGGATCCTCTGATATACTTCAATAAAAAAATAAGGTATGTAGTCTTCTTAACATTCATTGACTCACAGCTAAGGTTAATAAAAATCCTTTTTAAGTACTATATACAGTATGGACATAAAAATGAATTTTTTGATGATTTTTGAAAAATTAAGCCAGATTATTTGAACTGACTACTAGAAACTCTGATGCATTTCAAGTTAATTTATTAGAATTGTTTTCTAGTAAGCAGAAAGTAGGGCTCAGAGTTCAATTTTTATTTTTATTTTTTTTACTTAAACCATTTCTTTACATATGCTTCATCCTTATCTCTGTCATGGACATAAATGGATTTTTTCTGAGACTAGTATTCACTCTCGGCAGAATATCTGTTCCAAAATGACCCTGCAGCATAAAAGATGAGCCTACTAAATAAGGTGTTCCATTGAACTTCCCTTTTACTTGTCGACTCCAAATTAAAGTTTTAGTTAGATATTTGAAAGCCTGGCTTACATCAAGCAGAAGGTTTTAAGATTGTGTTGTCTAGGTATTTCACTTTATTTATTTATGTATTTATTTTATAGCTATTACTCTGTTACACAGAGTAAGTTAAGAAAAAAAAAAAAAAAAAGTCTTTTTCAACTCACCATCTTCCTTGGAGCATTCAGTCTGTAAATTGTGAAAAATTAACAGGTCAGAGAAGGAAGCAGGGAAAAACTTACAGAAGCAGAGATACACTGAGACTGCACAGCTATGCAGCTTTTGTTAGAAAGCTAAAGGAGCACAATCAGTTGCTAAGCCATCTAACATTTGGAGGTTTGAATGGTACGTATAAATAACCATGAGAAAGTTATTTGAACGTTCTGCAGATTCTCTGAAATCACTATTTTTTACCTTTTTAAAACATTAATACAGATTATGCTAAAAACAACTTTTTTGAAGAGTAGACTTTGGTCTGTTTTGAAGAAGAAAAAAAAAAAAAGAGAGAGAGAGATCTCAAGAGAGTGTTGAGGTAAAAGAAAGCTAGAATCTACTGATTGTCAGTCTTGGATTTGGTATGAAGGTTGTTTAAAAAAGGCAACCCTGTGTTTTTGATAGAGGAATGAACAACACCTATTAAAGAGAACATTTTTTTTATGTTTTCAGTTTGAAAGCAGGCAGAGGTGAATTTTTAAGCCTTTTTTTGAGGATGTATTAACTTTGCATACCTTTTTAGGCAAGTTTAATTAAATCACTTCTTCAAAATAAAATTAAGATGTTAGTGGTTGTAACATCGGTTGCTGTTAATGAATCACTGTTAAACTACATAGACTAAATACCTAGCTTAGCACAGAACTGTCATGCAGAGCTATCTGCAAAATTAAGTGCATGAATACTGCTGAGTTATCTTTCTCAGAAATTTCAGTAAGTTCTCAGAAACAGTTAAGCTATCTGCTGTTAAGCAAAATGGGCAGTGCCTACATCAGTTAAACACCAGTAAAAACCTAGATGCATGCTGATTAACTACAAGTACCATGTTGTAAATATATCCTAAAGTATTTTTAAACTGAAAAATATTTTTCATCTCTGAACAACACAAAATATAAATCCTGGACTTTGTCTCAGATGCTGCAAGAGTAAGAATTCCCAAATCCTCAAATTTGACATCCTTTTCTTTCTGTCAATATAATTTTTCAGCTTGCTTTCAAGGAAGGAGAAAAACTTAGAACTCTAACACCTTTTGAAAATTGTATGGTCGTCACTGCATGAAAGAATTCTCTCATTTGTCTCCTGGATTTCAGAGAGCTGTGGGGTTTGGAGGGCAAAGGAATTAGGGATCCTTTCTCGTTTTCATTTTATCCTTCAAGATCTATATTTCAGTTGAAAAGAGAGTGAAGAGAAAATATTATTTGTTCTTGCTGTAGAGTAGTGATTTTTATTTATTTTTTTTTTTAACTGTTGCTGGAAAATACAGTTCTGGGCTTCTGAGAACTTTGAAATATATTTGTCACATACATTTATGTTAAATATGCCATTTTTATCTTGTTCCAGTAGTTATGCACTCTAACGAACATTTAGGATCTCAGTGTGACACAGTACTATAAATTCATACATTTAGAAGTTTAATTAGAAATTTTAATAATGATGTTGCACTTATAAGTGTAAATTATAATTAAATTTGATAAGATGTTCATCCCATTTTGAAGAGTTCATAGAGCTAAATAAGAATTTTATTTGGAAAATAAAAGTTTTTAAAAATTGAGGAAGCTTTAGGAAAACAAAGTGATCTAATTTGCAAATTTGGAAGGAATAGTTTGCTGACTTAGATATTATTTCATCTGTTCAGCACCTGAATGTGGTCTTTATTGTGGTTTAGCCCCAGCAGGTAGGTAACAGCTACCCTACAGCTGCTCACTCACTCTCCCCAGGTGGGATGTGGGAGAAAAGCAGAGAGGTAAAAGTGCAAAAATTCATAGGTTAAGGTAAAAATGGTTTAAAAAGTATTAAAAAAGCTATGTGTGCAAGAAAAACAAAACAAAGAACTCAGTCACTACTTCCCATCAGAAGGCAGATGGTCAGTGACTTCCAAGTAAGCAGGGCTCATCAAAATTAATGGTTTCTTGGAAAGATAAATGCCATCATTCCAAATACTATATCCTGTTCTTCCCCTGGCCTCTCCTGGATTCCCCTGCCCTCCCTTCCCCTTCCCCTCCCTTTTTAACCCAGCTTTTACTGAGCATGATATCATATGGTGTGGAAAATTCCTTTGGCCAGTCTGGGCTAGCTTGCCTGGCTGTGTCCTGCTTCTTGTACACTCAAAAGCTTCTCACTGGCAGGGCAGCACAAGAAGCAGAAAAGTCCTTGGTTCTGTGCAAGCAATTATCTGTGACAGCTAAAAAGATTTCTGTTTTAGCATGTCTATTTTAATTGAAAATCCCAAGCACAACATTCTACCTATGAAGAAAATTCACTCTATCCCAGCCAAAAGAAAGGCAGTCTTCACCAAGTCTTCCTGCTGCGGATCACCTTTCTGAATTTATTTGTTGCTTTTTATAAATGAATCTTTGTATTACTTTAAAGTCAGTATTGAAAAACAAAAAACAATCACAAAAAGCTAACAACTGAAGCAAACCTGATATTGGAACAAAATTAAGTAACATTTTACTGCAAATATTTTTTTTCTATCTCATTGATTATGACCTCAGTGAAATACCAGGATTTGAAATGCAAATACATACATTAACAAATTTTCTGCTGAGTTTAATCCCTACCACTTGTGTGATCTATAATCTTTGCCATCCGTTCCTGTTGAATAAAATTTTGATTATTATCATATGAAATATTCTGGGGACATGCTGTCCCCAGTAATAGTAATTCAGTCCCCAGATAGTAATTCTTATATGACTAGTCTTAACTAAGAATAAATTATATTAAATCAGCCTAGATAGCATTTGTAAACTATGTCATGAGAAAACTTACAAGTTATTATATTAATATAGTTGTTATGAAGAAAGTTCTAACCCTTTTTACTAATAGCTTTATTTTGATTAGGCAATGTTTAGAGATAGAAGAAGAATCACAATCTGGACTAATCTGTATTAATTTGCAGTATTTCAGTAAATACTCTTTTCTCACCCTTCCATAAGAGCAAACAACTGAGACCAGCTTTTAAATACACTTCAATATCCCTAGCCAAAGGCTGGGAATATTAATTCAAAACTACAACGTAAAGCTAAAGCATCCTGTTGTAACAACAGAAATGTACTGTTTTTTACAATTCTAGTTGGAAATTTTTGAAATGTTGTCTGATAAATTATTTATAACCTGTCACTAGGTTTTCTTCCTCCTTTGATGGCTTGCAAACACAGACACTGATATTGGACATTGATGTCATTATGCAAGTTTGACTTTTCCAGAAACTGTTTGCATTCTTTTTTTGGCCTGCTGGACTGACAGTTATGTGGTAACGAATGTAGTGAATATGTTTATGAACTAAGAGATTGTCAAAATAACAGAGGTCTTATCTAACAGTAAGGTTTAATAAGCAGTGATTGTTGCAGGTAAAGTTGAAAGAAGGATAAATTCTAGCTTGCTTGTGCTTGTGGGGCCTGCTTCTTGGAGTTTGCAACAACAGTGAAAGGAAATTTCTGTAGGAAACTCTTTAATTTAACTGTACTTGACTTCTTCTCATGCTCTGACTTTAAGACATGATGTCTTTCAGCCTTTTTTATTACCTGAGATGTTTTTGTCTTTCTGCTTCATATCTTTTAGGCATTGTCTGTTCTTTATATTTTTTTCTGTCACTGTGTTTGCTTGATGTAACACATCAAGATGGGGAACATCTTCAATCTTCACTAGATACATCAATTTGCTTATGAGGTTTAGTCACTAACATGATTTCTACTGTCTCTGAATATGTAAATTCTGAATCTGCTATATGTGATTAATGTCTGTCTTTGGGCATTTCTGATTAACACATAGTACTATTCACCTGTTTAATGTGCATCACAGATACGAGTAGTACTCTGCAGTATTCTTCGCAGTGGAATGAATTCATCTCTGTAAAGCTTTTCTGTAACTCTCCTGATTCTATTTCTGGTACTTCCATGATCTGGAATTGATCTTTACTTGGGACTTTAAACTACTTTGATTACTAGGGTGATGGTATCTCCTTTTTCATGAACCATTTATAAATGCATTTTATAAATGGACTGCTTAAGATAAATGATTCTAATATCATGGCTGGCTGAGCCATGATAGGACCATTAGTTCCTTTTTCCACTAATGTAAGCAAATACCTGTGACAGTCATTTAATACCTGATAATGAAGTATTACAATGAATAATTACTTATCTAATGAAAGTGATAACTTTTTTTTTTTCTGTTTAAAGTTTTTATATTTGAGGGATGATTTTTCTATGGATATTTTAGAAACTTGTTTGTATTAAAAAAAAAAAAAATAGAATAAGAAGAGTCAAAGACAGGACTGGGCACTGATTTTCCCAAACCTACCTTTTAGATGGGTTGCCATTGAGCTGGTGGATTGGAAGGACCAATGAAACACAGACATACTGGGGAGGTTCCTCGCCTACTGTTCAGAAATGTACTTGTGGCATAGAGGGGAGCTGCATTGACTCCCAGCATTACTGCAACTGCGATGCTGACAGAAATGAATGGTGATTATTTTTATTATTATTGTTGTTTATTCACAATATATTGTCTTGGAATATAAATAAAGAAATAAAAACCTTAGCAGATTCTTACTACCAAAAATGCTGTAAGTATAAATTAGTATAGTGACACCTGTTTCTTTTTGTTTTGTTTTTTTTTTGTTTTGTTTTGTTTTTGTTGTTTTTGTTTTTTTTGTTTGTTTGTTTTTGAGATATAGAGCACTGTCTTAAAAAATATTGCTACATATATTAAGTGTTACTGTTAATTCTTTCAATCTGAATTTCAGGGAGTAGGGGGAGGAGTAGGAGGAGGAGTTCATTTTATGCAGAGATTTTCTAGTTTTAGAAAATATTTAATGTTATATTTTAAGATATTGGTTCTTGTGTTTAGTGTAACTTCAGTTATGCATTTTAGAATAGGAAAAATAATCAAAGCCAATCTTAAAGGTTTGGGGGGGGGAGGGATTTGTTACAATTTCTAGGAAATTTTAAGCATAATTTTTTAACTACATTTAAGTTTAGGCTTTTAAATTTTTATTATTATTAAAATTGGACACCCTTGTTATCAGCACAATTTATTTATTTATACATTATACTACCTATTGTAAGTGAATGGAAGTTTCTCTATAATGTAGATGTTCCACTTGTATTTGAAATTCATCTAATGTTATTTATGATCCTATTAAAATAAGTAATATCACAGAAAAGTCCTTATCATGATGTCAAATTTGAACCTGGCTTTAAACTTCAGATTATCAGTGTACCAGATCCAGCTTTCTTAATAGCAATTCTAGGACAGTATAAAGCAGGCTGATACTTTTCAAATAAAATATTTGCCATTGAATAAACTTTTATGTCTTTAAACTTTTAAAGCATATCTAACATTTACAAGTCTTATTCAATGAGTAAGCTAATATGTGCACATTAATAAATGTGCACATCTGCAGATAGAAAATGTTAAGAAGGTACATGGGACCATCTTCATGTATTCATCTGTATATGTACACATCTTCATGTATACAATGTGCATTTTCTCCTCTAGCTTTCCTTTAAATGAAAAGCTAGTGATTTTGTTTGGAAAATAATCTTATTATCATGAGCAAATACAAAAATGAAAATACAATGAAGAGTTAGTCAAAGAACAATTAATTTACAAGTTCCAGAAGTTTCTGTAGGTTTGAATGGGAAAAGAATTGTCATCCACAGTAAAATTCACAGTCATACTTGCTGTATTCTTCTAATAAAGGTCTTATACAAAAACCCAGAACACTAGAATTTTTCCTATTACTGTGTTGCACAGCAGTACAAGCAATTTTTGATTTCTAACAACAAAATAAGTGTTAAGAAATTAATATATTTTGAGACAGGCTTTTGAATATTTATTAGCATATGCAATATATTCTTGCTCATTTTTTTCACTCACTTAGTAAATACTCATATACATAGATTAATTTACAATGTTAACATACTTACGAATACAGTAGATAAAGGATGACATAAGTACAAATCAATTAGTGTATGTTGATAAGTGAATCAAAAAGTTGTTGATAAGTGAATTGAAAATATAAATTGAAAATAGAATGTGTCCTGCTTTATGTTTCTGTATGTATCTACACTTGTTACTTTAATTTTAACTTTAAGAGATAACTTATCCCTGTAAATCCAATGTTATGAATTTTATGGTATGGTATATTAACTGATGTTATGGTATTTACACTTACTTTGGTAGTTGTTCTTAACGTTACGTTTGACTCCCCAGGGACTACTACAGATTTTAATCAATTGCTTCAATTCTGATGATAGATGAGAAAAAATAGGCAAAAGTTTTGTTAGAGATGCTTTCTGAGCACGCAGAAACAGAGTTACATATATTGTGGTTTTGAAAACATGTTTTTTATATCCTATGCTCACAGTGAAATCTAATTTATTTCATAAATTGGATACGGGTTTAGATCTGAAAGTCCTTGTCTGGGTAATCAAAATATTTATAAAAATCTCCAATCAAATATTATACATATATAAATGTGTACATATATATGTTTCTGCAAATCTACAAAAATGCAGGCAGGCTAATTTCTATTCAATTCTCATTTAGCTTAGTTTTAGTGAAGCAAACTTTTTTTTTTTTTTTTTTTTAATGTTCTAATTAGAAATGTGCAATATCTTACTTCATCAAAAGTTAACATAAGTACTACTTTCAAATGTTTTGCATTCCTCACTTAAGAAAAAATAATTTAAAAAAATGCTTCTTGAAAAATTGCAGCTATCTGTACACTCTGTTGCAAAACAGATGAACAAAAATTGTACACACACACACATACACACACAAATTTCATTCAGCTGAGGAAGGATTTTTTCCCATTCTCTCAGCTCTAGTGCACAGAGTGCTGAGAGAGTGCTTTGCAAAGCCTAGCCGTGTTCCCAGAGATGTTTGCAAGTTTGCTTGGCACCCAGTGCTTGCTGAGGTGTTTGTCTTGTGTTTAACCTCTGAACAGAGTGAATTCCAGATGGCCTCCCCTCTCCAAATTCATATCGTTGTCTCTGAATTGTCGTGCTTTAAGGGATGATTCAGTTAGACATTAATTGAATGGACATGAATTTTCCAGAATGGACTGAGTATTTCCATGATTTCACAGGAAGATATTATAGGGTCAGAACTGGTGTTTTCTAAAACTTAATAGTTCAGTTCTTACACTAAATTAACAAAGATTTTAAACAATGAATTCTAAGATTAGAAGTACTCTGTGTGTGCTCAGAATATTAGGCTATATTTTTCCTTTCCTGTAAAATACTTATTTAAAGTAGATGCTTCTTTTCCTGTATGCTCAGAATGACTCTGTATTTTTTCTGCTTGACTTTCTCTTTATTTACATTATTCAATGATGAAGACACAGGCCATTTGAGATACAAGTAACATAATTAATGACATGGGCGTAATGACATGATGTTGTTTTATGCACCCAGATTCATTCATACCCATTTGTGTCAAAAGCACAATCATAAACCTGCCCACTTTTCATGATTTTTTTTTCAGTCCTGTCAAATAATCATGAGATTAATACCAAAGCATATTTTTTATTCACATGTGCTTCTGTTACCTACATACTTACACAGATACTTTCAGAATGTAATTATTTCTTTTTCCCCAGAAATGATAACAAAATGTTTATCAGAAACACATGACAGAAATGTGGCTTTCATGTTATCTTTCCAGGACTAATGATACTGGGTTCCTTTCCTACAAGGAACATCTACCAGTAACAGAAATTGTGATTACAGACACTGACAGACCAAATTCTGAAGCAGCTTACAGACTAGGGCCTTTGCTTTGCCGTGGTGACCGTAAGTAACAACTACAGAGTTTTGCTAAGTAATGATGGCTTTTGACTAAAAAATAAAATAAAATAAATAAATAAAAAATAAATATAATTTGTTAATTTGTTAAACAGCCTAGGCTATAACATTGTAAAAATTTTACCCAATTCTTTTAGTAACTAGAAAAGAAATAGACAAAGTGTGATGTTCCATTTCAAACTAGGGTAGAATTGTAAAGAGATATTTTTTTTGAGTATAAATGTAAATAATGAAGACTGGCATGGTTAGTATAGTTTTTATAGTTCTTTGCATCAAATGTTATCCTGTGGTTTTCTTCTTTAATATAGTCTCATATTATTATAAGTTATTGTTTTATTTGTTGTGTGATATTTGTCTTTCATCTTTTTTTTTTTCCCAATTTATTTTTAGCTTCTACTAATAAAATGAAATTAACACCAGAAAAATTAATAAAAATAAATGAACACCAGTAAAAATCTGCACTTTTAGGCTCAGTTAGGAGACTGCATAAATATATAAATACAGGTTAACAAATATTTATTTTTATGTTTTTGATTCCATTCCTCTGACTTGTCAGAGTAATTAGGAAAAGTTGTTAACAGATGTGTGCTACAGCAGTGCTTTCTAATTTTCTTATGAAAATTTGTTAGACATGGGGGAAAAAAAAAAAAAAAAAAAACAACAACAACAAGAAAAACCTGTTGGGTGCTTCCTTTTCACATCTCTTGTCACTCAGCTGTGAATAGTTTACATCTGTTGTCTGTCATAGAACTGTGCAATCACGGGATTATGATACAGAACCACGGCTAATTCTGACTGGAAGAGACCTAAGGAGGTCTCTGCCCATACAAAAAAAAAAAAAAAAAAAAAAAAAAAAAAACACTCTTGAGTAGCCTATCTATTCTTTACTTTGCTGTATACTTGTAGTGCTTTTGAAATAGTGAAGCTGTACTCTCCCAAGGAATCCATTCTGATTTACTAAGATAATTCAAATGCTTCATTGAAGCTGATTGTATTATTACTTCACTGTTCTCTCTCTTCTAATTAACTAGCAATGTTTTACCAGTTTTGTATAAATTAGTATTATTAAACTTCCTATTGTGCTTGAATTACTGGCAACAGCCAGCTCATTGTTTTCTAAATAACTGTTACATACTTGAGTCATAATTGTGGTGAAGTTGGCTCGGTGGGAGCTGTGACCTGGAACAGTTGAGAACAGAGATGTTAAGGTGCTTCCTTCAGCTAACGACACTTTGCATAGAACGATAGGCTTCCTTCTGCAGTGACACCAAGTAACCCATCAAACAGCACAAAAGAGCAAAGACATGTTTTTCTCCCCCAACCTCAGCCACCTGTTCATGGTTCTGGCCTACCATGTAAAAATTGTCCTGATGCTAACTTTTGATGGCTGGCAGTAGTCTCAGGTGGCAAGTGTCACAGCAAGAAATTACTAGAATATATATAAATATCCTGCCATGACACTTTTCTAGGTGAGGGATCTGAATTCTGATTAAAACTATTCTATCAGGTCAAGAAGGATGAGGGAATGGACTTCGATTTTACTGTGGTATGTGGTTCAGGTCTTTGTTTGGTTTTGTAGGTGAGAGAAACTTGTATATTTCTCCCCACACACAAAAACAGGGTGCCTGAAGCAAAAAAACATAGTTTAGCATAAGATTTAGAATCAGATTACAGTATTATCAGTCCTTGTTCAATTACATAAGAAATCATTGAATACCTCATTTTATTTAAAAAACAATATAGATTAGTAAAGAAATACAGATACACCTAGAAGAATTCAGCAGTAATAACAAGGTATTTCTAGTTGAACAGCATAAATGCAGATTATGTTCTTATTATAAGAGAATGCTATTAGAGATTTTATATAAGGTTTTTATTAATCAAGATAAAATGCAACAAATTATAATTAAGCATGAATTTAAGGAAATATAAAACCAGGTAAATATCTAGTAACATTTTGAGTAAAGTTTATATGGGATTTAACGTGTAAATAAGAATTCATATGAATTTCTAAACTGTAGTCAATTAAAGAAGATACGTTAGCAGAATTTAAATACTTATTTCCTTCTATGGGAATTATTAGGAGCTGTATCTTCTTTACGATATCTGGCAAAACTTGACTGGACTGCAACAATGGCACAACTCCTTTTCTCTTTATGTGAGAAATGCACTTAATGACTCTCACAGTAATAATTTAGAATGAGAATTAGAATTAGAATAGTTCAGGTGGAAGGGACCTCCGAAGATCATCTAGTTCAATTGCCTGACCACTCCAGGGCTAACCAAAAGTTAAATCCTATTATTTAGGGCATTATCCAAATGCCTCTTGAACATTGAGAGGCATGGTGCATCAACCACCTTGCTAGGAAATCTGTTCCAGCATTTGGCCAGAAAGAAATTTTTCCTCATACCTAGCCTGAGTCTCTCACAACACAACTCTTTGCCATTCCTACACATCCTATCATTATTTACCAGGGAGAGGAGAATGGCACCTCTCTCTCTATTTGTCCTCCTCAGGAAGCTGGAAAAAGCAGTGAGGTTGCCTCTTAAACTCTTTTTCTCCAAATTTGGCAACCCAAGTATCCATAGCCTTACAGCCCTGTAACCAGCTTTGTTGCTTTCCTCTGGTGTTTTCACATACCTCAATATACTTTTAATATTTTAAAGCCCAGAACTGCAAACAATATTTAAGGTGAGGCCTCACTAATTTTAAATATAGTGGGAAAATAATCTCTTTTGACCAGATGGCTATGCTGTAGTTAATGCATCCCAAAACATTTATCCAGGGCACACTGCTGGCTCATGTCAGTCTTTCTGTCAACCAGTACCCTTAGAATCCTTACTGGTTTCCTAGCCAAATTTCTCTGAATATGTACTTCTGATTGGCATTTCTCTGTCCATTGTGCAGAATGCAGCATTTCTGTTTGCTGAATTTCATGCCATTGGTGACTGCACAAATTTGCAGTCTATTTAGACCCTTCTGCAAGGCCACTTGTCCCTCAAGAGAGTCAAGAGAACCCCCCAGTTTAGTGGGGGTTCAGATCACTAAACTTGCTAAAGATCCATTCAACTCCTGCACCCAGGTTATTCAGCCAATTCATCACTCAATGTAGCATGTACTTGTTCACCTCACAGTTGGATAATTTGCCCAGAAAGATACTGTAAGGGATGGATTCAAAGACCTCACTAAAATTCAGAAAGATTACATCCACCACCATCCCCTTATCCACCAAATGGGTGACCTTATCATGGAAGGAGATCAAAGGCTTTCCCTTTATGACCCCGTGTTGACTATGTCTGATGATTCCTTTAAATTCCTTTCAGTAGTACCCAGGGAAATCTCCATAGCTTTTTGAGGTACTGGAATTTATACAAACTATTAAAGGTATAGTACTTTGTTCAAAGTTGCTGTATCTGTTCCCCAAAAGAATACATCAAGCCCTATCTGGACAACCTAGTTGAGATTCCAGGCATTTCATTTCCTATTAACTGAGTTTTGGTTGTTGGAGCAGAGCTTTTTAACCTCTACTGTGGTTTAAACCTTCAGGCAGCTAAGCAGCACGCAGCCATTCACTCACTCCCCACACCAGTGGGACTGGGAAGAGAATCAGAGAGAGAGAAAAAAAAAAAAAAAAAAAAGTTAATTTTTTAATTGAGATAAAGACATTTTATTAGCATGGAAAAGGAAGATAAATTATTTTTACTATGATTGTATTCGTAGTAGTAGTAGTAATATAAAAGAATGACAATAATAAGAGGAAGAACAATAAGAATATACAAAGCAAGTGATGTACAATGCAATTGATGACCACTATCTGACCAATGCCCAGCCAGACTCACAAGAAGTAGCTGCTCCCTTCCCTGTCAGCCCATACAGCTTTATTGTTCCACATGTATTCATATGGTACAGAATATCCCATTAGCTAGTGTGGGTCAGCTGTCCTTGTTCTGTCACATCCCAGCTTCTTGCGTATCATCAGCCTGCTTGCTGATGAGAAGCTACAAAACCCTCGACTTAGTTTATAACATATCAACAACTAAAATGTCAGTGTGTTATCAACATTATTCTCATCCTAAATCTAAAACATAGCACCATACCAGCTACTGAGAAGAAAATCAGCTATATACCCATTGAAACCAGGACGACTTCTCATACTGAATAAATCTTTTGTGGGGATCCCATTTTTTCGTATAACCAACTAAACACGAAGCCTCTGTGGAGCTCAGGTGCTCTTAACACTGAAAATCCCTTGTAGACTTAGGTACTTTCCTTTGCTTAGTTTGTTACAAAACTTATACTAGCAATATTAGACAACATTGTATTTTGACTTTAACTTGTATTTTGACAAACAGGAGCATTTTGGAATTCAGCATCGTTCAACACAGAGACATCTTACCTGCATTTCCCCACCCTCCATGGAGAACTCAGTGCAGATGTATCATTTTTCTTTAAAACTACTGCTTCTTCAGGAGTGTTTTTAGAAAATCTGGGAATTCAAGACTTCATAAGGATAGAGTTATACTGTAAGTAACACCACTGCATTGTATTATTATTATTATTATTAACATTAATATCATTAACTATTACTATTATTATTTTAGTTTTCAGTAGGACTATGTTAGAATTAACTAATGAGAGGAATATTTTAAAGTATATTCTCTATTTTTATTACAGTTATTACTTTGGTAGCTTTATCATTCTTCTCAAAATCCCAGCACTGGAATTAGATTTAATTATACAAATATACATTCAAAGATAATTTCAGCCCCAGAGCATTCTTAATCTCAGCAATCACCCTGTTACTACTCAATCAGTTCCTACTTTACACTCCTCACAGCCAGGCAGTACGTGTGGCTGTTGTGAGATTCATTCAGTCACAATGTGTGAGTAAGACCATCTATAGCATAGTACCCTAACTTTGTTATATCTTTTCCCAAATTCAATATCAGCAATCTTTTTATCATTATTATTTCCTTCATACATATCTAAAAACTTAGATTTTAGCACATAGATATTTTTTTTACAAGAGAAAATTAAGTTGTATCGTTGAAATCAGTTACATGACTCGTATAGAATTTACCTTAGTTGTCTCGATATTTTTTTAGTCATATATTGTTCGTTATTAAAAGGGAGGCTATTTAAAATGAATAATTATTGTTTCAAAATATTTTGGATTTATTTGAAATTACAGATCATTTAAAAAGTTTTATAGTTGACAGGTGCTTTTGAGACTTCTTTGTAAAAGCTGACATTGGACATTTCCTTATTATGTACAAATACATTGATAATTTTCTGGTGAAGTGTATACATAAATAGATACATGTATTTTATATCATACAAAATATAATTTTAGAAACACTAGTGTATCTTTATTAAAAAAATAAAATATTTTTCTTGCATTTTTTTTCCAATTATAATGTTTCACATTATTTAAACAAACAGAAAAGCACTTACTGCGTTGTTCTGTTGACAGGTGAACTATTCAATGTTGTGTAGAATGCTTTCTCAATTTGTTTTTTTGTTGTCTCAGGCTGTATTCAAAAGATACTCTATTTTTAGTAGTGTCTTTAGTAGGTTTATCAGGAATGTGATAAACCTGTTAAAATTTTGTGAACAGGTGAAAACACAGTAGCATAATAACCTCGGTGCCAACGAATACAGAAAATGTGTTAGGTCACCACTTCAGTGAATCTGAAGCCAATGGGTCACTACTTCTCTGAAACAATGATAATATTGTTTCATAGCAACCTGTTTTCCTATTTCAAAATAAACCATTAAATTACAGAAACATTACAGGACTATTTCTGAGAACTAAATTCATCCATGCAGTTGGCAGAAGACCATCACTATTTCTTCATGATAATAATATGCAGAGAAGCTCATGTCACTGGTCCCGTTCATTCATATGCATCCTTCAGTTGCACAAACTTGTATTTTTGTATATAAGAATACTTGTATATATATATATTTTTTTTTCTCTGTATGACTTGTGACTAACATAAGAGAAAGGGTGAATTTGTCCATTATTACGGTGGACAAATTCAGATATTTCTTCACTTCCAGAAACTATCATGAATTGTTGAATAGGTATACTTATTATTTTTTGATAGGTAGGATTGTTTGTTCTGGAGCCAGAATTGTGTATATATACTAAGGGTAATATTGTTCAGTAATTCATAATACATTATCTTATCACAACTACCTTAAACAAACAAACAAACAAACACATTAATCACCTTGATAACATATTATATATTACGTATCATATTGTATAGTATCATTTAAATGTCATTACATACTCATTTGCAGTAGATTTGAATGTAAATCAACAACCTACACTTCATATGCTATTTATATTTCTACATAAATCAATGGCTTTGATTCATGTAATAATAAATAACGATAATGTAAATATCAGGTTACATGTTTAAGATGAAGATGTTAGAAATTATTTAAAATTCATTATATGATTAATATTTGGCATACCATACTAGATAACACTAAGATTTTTCTTAGCATTTTATTTTTCGATTGTTCTCAAACTTTATATCCAATGTTTTTATTTATGATATAATAGTCTGTAGACAATTAAGCCTAACTTTACCAAGGCAAAAGAGCCAGATCAAGCTTATTAGGAAAGGTGAAGTTTAGAGCTGTTTGGTTTTATGAACATCTATAGACACTGAAGTGCATACATGATGTAAAAAGCTGTTGCAAAAATATAGTTATTTATCCTAATCATATTTTATAGACACAAAACTAAATAGTCTTAGACAAGATATGATTATTTTTTTTTATTTATTTGTTGTAAGCAAATATAAAAATAAAAAAAAACCTTGAGGCTTTGACTTTTCGTCTGAGTTACTGTAGTGTTCTGCAGACTGTTTCAAAGCCATAAAGGATAATTCAACTCTGAAAGTTTTCACAGTACAGTGTATTAAATAGTTATATGACTGCAAATTATATCTTCTAGCCAGAAGCTTAAATTTCAATTTTATTTTGTCCGAGTGCTCACTGAAGGATTATTTCCATTTTAAATACAAAACGATAAACAGAAATTTAAATTAGGAGCACAATTATGTAGTAATTTAGAGGGCCTTCTGAGGAAAGAACTATTGGAAATAGTTCTGACGAGTTCCGAGTATGAAGCTGTGATAGGCCCCCTTCTGCTATAATTCACTACTTATTGTCCAGGATGAGTGGATTCATATTTTTTTCTCTAGGGAAAGTACTTAATTATTATATTATGTAGCATATTACTTTGTAATTACTTTCTGTTACTGCATATAATGTATATGTCTTGGTACTCTAAGTAGTTCTTGTTGGCTGTGCTTTCTGTTAGTCATTTTAGCTACAGCTAGTCACAGATCACACTCCATGATCACTATCAACTGCATCTTCCACTCCACTTTGCCAGTCTGTACCTGTGCGTTGCCAATGTTTGAATTTATTAGCTTCAAGAGTCCCTGCAATGTCTGGATTTTTTTTATTTTTTTTTGTCTAACACCAAGTTAGGTAAGGACCACAAAGTATTTATTCATTAAAAGAGCTCCAGGACAGAGCTTTCTCATGCTCCAAGAAAATGATGAAAATGTTCTTTGTCCTGGTCTTTCATCACAAGAGGACAAATTTCAGAACTCAGTCAGCATCTCTCTACATCCTGTGGCACACCTTCTGCAGGTGGTTTGACCACTGGGCTCATAATTGCCAAATTCCTTCTAAACTTGCAGTGCTATTGTTTTAACCAGAGTTGATTTAAATACAAAATATAAACTGATTATATTTATCTCTTTTTCTGACATATTCTGGTCAGTCTTCAGACAGTCCACCAGATGCTAGTAGGGTCATCATAGCTCTTTAAAACTCCATTTTGGAACTTCTGGGACTGGTTCTGTTTTTCAAGATTACATTACTCTTTAGTGTTAATAACATAATTCATTATTTCATTGGTTATTTCAAAAGCTATATGTGTTTTCTTACCTTTAAAATCTCATCAGTCACATTATTTATCAGATCTGTCATTCTGATATGCTATTTAATAGGCACATTCAGTGAGTTCAAAGCAGAATTTGTGTTTTCAGGCTTCACTCCAACAGTATCCGGAGGATTACAAAGACCTCCCTACAGAAGGTAACATTCAGCAGAAATTCTCTTTACCTAGTCACATGGAGTTTCTGTAGCTTTTGTTCTCCTACTGTTTTGTTGTTTTTTTTTTTTGTTTGTTTTATTTTTTTTAAAACCCTCAGTATAGGGAGACTGAGCTCTCAACTTTATCAAATGACACAAATTATCCAAAAATTCATTTTAATGATGACAAGATTTTACACAACCATTATTTCTTATTATTGTATACAACACTGTTGATTTTTAAGCGGAAGAGATCACTTACTACAAAAGGAGTTCTGTTTAAAACTCAACTGCACATTATGTCTTATTTTATTTGAAAAATCAAATGTTGTATATATTTTTTTCTCTCAGATTAAACCGTTATAGAAAAATACTTTATAACAATCAGATTTGGAGCAGATTTGGAGGTAACAAGCATATGGCATTATTCAGTCTAAAGATTGGCCAAAGTGGATCTAAATTTTCTAAAATTTCTAATGTATCTTTTAAAACTGGAAAGAAAATGCAAGTATTTCACAATTTCACTGTGATTTTTAAAAAATATATTATTCTGTAAATTAATGTTTGATAACATGTTTGAAGGTCTTTCATGTCCTCTGATCACTTCTAACCATCTTGCTTTTCTCTGAAAGTCTAATGACATGAATTGGAACCTTTAATGGTTCCAGTTCATGGAGACTTCTCATCCTCCAGTCTTTTTTTCTAGTAATAATTTAAAATGCTGGTAATCTCATGTTTAGGGATTACTGTTCATATGTGTTTATCCTTTAATATGTTAATTGAGCAGTTTATAACTTCCAGATTTTTGATTTCTCGCATATTCCCCATCTGAACAACAAGATGCTTTTCTAGGCAAACTATCATGCAAATGTTGCTTAGGGAATGACGCGGTTGACTTCAACATATAAGCTGAAGCATATTGTATGAATATGGTTACATTAAAAAAAAAATATATGAGACTTTATTGAGACCTCTCAATATATAAACAAGGCTTATAATAAAGATGGAGAAAGGCCTTTTAGGAGAACCTGTAGTGGTAGGGCAAGGAGCAATGGCTTTAGACTGAACAAAAGTAGATTTAAATTGGGTATCAGGATGAAATTTTTTTCATGATGGTGGTGAGACAACAGAATTGGTTCCCCAGGGAAGTTGTGGATGTCTCAATAATGGAAGAACTCAAAGTTGTGTAATACAGGGATTTGAGCACCTTCACCTAATGAAAGATGTCCTTACCCAAGGCAGAGGGGGTGGACTAGATTGTCTTATTAAGTTTCCTTCTAAACCAAGGAGAAGCCCATCACATATCTCATTCTGCAGTATTGCAGACTAGTGAATATTTTTGACAGGCATCAGTTTTGATGTTAATTTATTTATTTATTTTAGTTGCAATGTTATAACAACCTCTATGGACATTTTAGACAGAGAAGTTTGAAAATCTTGCAAGAAATCAAAACATGGTACATACATTGGAATCAATTTATTCTTTTCAAAAAGTTGTGTTACTGATTTTGAAAATGACTTGCATCTGTGTTAGGACAGATATTTCCTATTAGTCAATGCCACTTTCTAGATCAAAATTTGTACTCTGATAATTGTATGAGTTGTGTGAATAAATAAGAAAAAAAAAAAAAAAAAAAAAAAAAAAAGAAGATAAAACCTGATGAATTTTAATTTTGGTGGTTGAAATTCAGCTAACAATGGTAATCAATTAACACGTAAGTAGGATATATCTTTTTTATCCAAAATGAAAAATAACAAAGCTAGTACATTTCACTGTTTCTTGACTTCGATACTCTCTGGGGGGTGCAACCGGTTTTACTTTCACTTTGCTGTCAAATCATCGTTCTCAGTGTCAGTGAGTGTGAAGAAAGAGCTTTGTAGATAGGACTCCTAAGGTCTACTTTTCCTCCCCCAAAAATTATCTTATCCTGCCATAGCCAGAGGAAATAGTAGACTAGGCCTTAAAATAGCTTGTTCTGCTGTGTAATGTTTGTATGACCTAAATACTATGGAATAATGCAAGCAATTACTTAAATATCGATGTCCTCTTTCTAGCCCCATCTGAAGTGATTTTTTCATTCGATGTTGGAAATGGACCTAGTGAAGTTACAGTGCAGTCTCTCACTTCCTTAAATGACAACCAGTGGCATTATGTCAAGGCTGAACGAAACATCAAAGATGCATCCTTACAAGTAGATCAGCTTCCTCAAAAGTTTCATGCTGCTCCACCTGATGGCCATATTCGGTTGCAACTCAACAGCCAACTTTTTGTAGGTAGGCACTCATTTAACAGAATCTTTTCTAATTATCATCATGAAAATGTGAAAGGGAAAAAAATAGCAACAAAAAGTAACTGGGTCTTTTGAAAACAGCTTATATGGTAGAACTTTGGTGTACTTTTATGATGACTATTCTAGAAACATGTAAAGTCTGTCCTACCTTCACAAAACTTTTTGTCTAGATCTGCTGTAAGACACATTGTACTAAATGAACTTATTTTTCATTTGCTACATCTTAGGGAGGAGGGAAGGTAAGGGGCCTGGTGTTACTAAATAAACTGTATCTTTAGGAAAAGTTGAAAGTAGATCTCTTAGAGTTTATGTGATCTGACCTGTGAAGCAAAACAGAAATTCCACAGTTGTTTATGTCAATATCAAGTCTAAACAGTTTTCTAATGATAAGGATCCAAAATCTTTTTCCAAATGATCTGAAACTGTACTAACCTGATTTAAGAGTAGCACTTCCCAGAAAATTTTGTCAAATAATTGGCTACTGAATAAGGTGATCTTTTTAACAAATGAAAAATAAATAAATAAATAAATAATATGCATTAATTAATAATTAATAATAATTAATATGTATATTAATATATATTGTCTGACTTTGTCAAACAGTTTACATGTCTAGTATAGATTTATGTATATTTATCTCTTACATGGAGGTGTCAATTTAAAATTTTGTCTAGCTTGTTTTTTTCAGATAGTGTTCAGAGATGAATAGTTTGCATTGAAACAGAGATTCTATTCTGCTGCTTCTGGTATTTTTTTGGGGGAAGCTTTTAGTCAACAGCTGCCTGGAAATTCATGAGGATTGTGGCTAGCAACCTTTGATATTGTGAAGTATTTTCTGGTTTTCTTTGTAAAAGAGAAAGAAGGGGGGAAACAAAACACAACAAAAAAATAAACAGCAACAACAACCGAAACAGTATTATAGTAAATTTTGTAACATAGCTTAGGAGAAAAGATACTGTGCATATTGCACACCTTGCTAAGAAATCACAATGAACAAAATGTTGGCCGTCAGGAAGTGTCTTAAAATGAACAGTCATAATAAATGAAGAAACAATTATTATTACCTTCTGGATTTTCCTATTCATTTACATATTTTCTTAACATTTACATGTTTCATAGTCAGGACGGACCAGCCTCTTCACTCAGCAGAGAAGGGAATAGATTCAAGACTGGACACAGCTTCCACCACAGGACAAAATATGCAATCCCAGACATGAACTCTGGGATATCATGATCCATACCATGAGACAGACATATAGACAGACATGCAGAATAATTAAGCAGTCAGCAGAATTTTGAAAAAGTAAAACTTTACTCTTCATCACCCTCCCTTAACCTTTTCTCCTTTATTTTTATATTTTTATTATTTTTATTTTTATTTTTATTATTTTATTTTTATTTTTATTAATTGTTCTGTATTTCTTCATCTTTCCTTCTCTCCCTTTCTCTCCCCTTCTCTTCTCTTAAAAACAGGCAAACAAACAACAAAACCTAATTTCTGGATGTTATTCCTTTGTGAATTAATAACAATATGCATCATTGCTTGGTATCTTACTGTGCTGTGCAGAATATTTTTTTCCCATTAAAAGCTTCAGGAGTTCACTGTAATTAGTTGAGAAAAAAAATGCATAAGCATATATATCAGAAATTCATCATAGATTGTTCAGGGGTTGTAAAATATGCAGATGTTGTTCTAAATCTACAGATTGGTTCTTTTTTATTTTTGAAAGCTCATACAAATTTATTTCAGGTGGGACGGCATCTAGACAGAAAGGATTTTTGGGATGCATTCGTTCATTACAGTTAAATGGAATGGCCCTTGACCTGGAAGAGAGAGCGAAGATAACACCAGGAGTTGAACCAGGATGTCCTGGACATTGTAGTAGCTATGGTAACCTGTGTCATAATGGTGGAAAATGCCGAGAGAAATACAGTGGATTCTCTTGTGACTGCAGTTTCTCTGCCTATGCCGGGCCATTCTGTAAGAAAGGCAAGCATGTCTTTTAGCTTCATCAGTTACTGAAAATAAGAGCATGCAGTCCAGAATAAGTTCTTTAAGGATAAGTCTGAATGGTTACAAATCATTTGTTTCACCTAGTGTAGACAAACATTCAGTTTAATTTGCTCAGTATGTGTAACTAGTTTTATAAACACGGTCTTCCAGAGTTATACTCTACACATTATTTTAACACCATTAAAACACCATATGTGAGAGAGTCACTATGTTTTCTTTAATGTTATGTAGCAGCTTTCATATTTTAATATTATAGTACAGCTAGGATTTTTTTATATATAAAATATATATGTTTAAAAAATATGTTTGTATAAATATGTCTGTCAAGTCTTAAGGATTAACTAGGACTAAAGCTATGACTAAATTTGGAAAACAAACCAAGAAGTAATTTTTTTTGTTTGATTGTTTGTTTTTTAACTGCAAGAGGAAAATGACATTATGGGGAAAAGGAGTGAACCCATCTTTCCATCCATTCTAATTGAGTTCTTCACTAATAGTGTTATACTAGTGGATGATAAACAGTCACTGAGTTTGAATTTTAAGAATGGAAGTTCATTTAGAAATTAAATATTTTCAAATCATTCTAATTTGTTAAAAATTGCTTTCTTCCTCCATGTATTCTGCAAAGTACTTGCTGGCTTAAATGCCATCGCTCCAGGTTTCTCTAAATTCATGAGCATTATATCTACCCAGCCACTACTGCCACCAAAAAAATAAAAGACTCTTGTGAAATCCTTCCATATGCATATCCCCTGTGGCACTAATGCTGCTGAGTGTCTTCCATTCATTCTCATGATGTCTTCCAGCTCCCCAGAAAATAGAAGAAGAATGGTCACAATACAAGCTTATTATTCTTCAAGTGATTGATTAGTGGATCCTGTTGCTGAAAGTGTGGGATGACCTTTAATAATTTTAATCACTGTCTTTCAAAAATACTGAGCCGCATTACAGTAATTTACAGATTTCTATTTATTTATTCATTTATTTATTTTCTGAAGTCTGTGTGTAATAAAGGTATAGTCTAAGAGTTGTTTTAATAGGAAGCTGTTGTGAGATGTTCTGGAGACACAGAGGGCCTTTATATCTTCTCCCACACACTTGGGCATAGACAAGTTTAGTCAATGTGTTAGTATGTTAGGATTTAAACTCCTGCACCAATTTTTCTGTATGTGCAGTGTACTTAGGAGAGAAAACATGGACTTCAGGACATAAATAAATAGGAAAAAAAAAAAAAAAAAAAAAGGAAAAAAAAAAGAAAAACAAAACAAAACACACACACACAAAAATAATAATAAAAAAACACAATAGCGTGCTCAAAACCAGACAAGAAGAAGCACATCTTCATGCAACAGATATTTACGACACATGCCTAATGTGGTTTTGGTCTAACACAGTTTTATTATCCTCTATAATTCTAGGTATTATTTCTGTTAATATTTCTTTCAGCCACAGCGCAATAATTAAGAAAACTTGTTCTTGTTTTTTGAATTGTTTTTTATTTCAGAAATCTCTGCCTATTTTGGAACTGGAAGTTCTGTGATATACAATTTTCAGGAATACTACACCTTCACTAAAAATTCTAGTTCTCATGCTTCTTCTTTCTATGCTGACATGACACTGAGCAGGGAAACAATCACACTTGCCTTTCGAACAACACGGACACCAAGCCTACTGCTTTATGTCAGCTCCTTCTACAAGGAATATCTCTCAGTCATTCTAACCAGAAATGGTGAGTGTTCAGATTGGCTGTCTGGAAATGCTAATGAGCTGTCAACTCAAATTTATCCTGATTCCCAGAGCTGAATCACAAATTAAACATTGTCCTGTTGTTGCTTAAAATGGTGTCTTTATTTTTCTGTTGTTACAAGCAATGCTTTCCATCTCAACATAATCCTTAATGTAATTCCAACTTCTACTGCTTTTTAATAGTTTTGGCAAAATTAATTATTTCTGGAAATCCTTTAGTTTTTTTTGTTGGTGGTGGTGGTGGTGTGTTTTTTGTTGTTGTTGTTGTTTTGTTTTTTCTTTTTAAGACTTGAAACGAAATTCAAAATGTATCTGGTGGAAATCCACATCATATAACAGATGGACAGATGGGAATTTACCTTTTTCTATTTAAACTAAGCATGAAATCTTAGTTGGATCTTTGTTTTGCATTCTTTCATCTTGTCTACTCATTTCTTAATGGCTAATTTACTTCTTTTACTCCTAGATATTTTTTTCAATTAAGAAATTTAATTACAGAAAGAAAAAAAAAAAAACACACACACACACAAAAAAATAACATGGATATTTGAGTGTGTTAAAGACTGTTTGCAATCGTACTGGCCCTGTGCTCAAAGAGACTGGCTTTTCCAGTTACATTGGATAACTGTAGAGTCCTGATCATGTGAAGTAGAACATGACTGAACATGATCATGTGAAGTAGAACATGACTGGCCTGGGTCTGGATGGGGATTTGCTTTTCAAAGGGCTAATACAAAGTTGTAGTATATCTACATCTGATATCACTCCTATCTCTGACAAGAAAACCATGGAGCCTTTGTGTTAAAAAGCCTTTGTGGGATATGTGTAGAGACTATACTAAGAGTTAACAACAAGAAATGGAAAGTGAGATAGAAATGATTCATTGTATCTTTCTTGACAGTTGATTGGTCAGAGATTTACAGTCTGACAGTGTAAATATTATTCAAGAATAGTACTGGTAAGGTAGAGAGTTTTATTTGATAAATCACATTGAAATAAGCTACCAGACCAAGCCTTTCTGAGATACACTAAATAAAATGCCGCAAAACCTTTAACTCATTATGACAGGTTCACAGATTATACAGATTTGTCACAGTTTATAGGTATATTTGTTACATCATCCTACTTTCAAAATTGTTGTTACCCTTCCTATTTTCTTCTTTCATTTCTCACTTAAGTCAATTTCTCCTATTTGAGCTAATTCCTTATATAAATTAAACATTTGGTTTGCTCTTCAAATACATATGTGAAGCGGGAGGTATTGTATATGATCTACTCTGTCTGTTGTGTACCCATTGTACTATACCATTTGAACTGTCTATATCTGCAGGAAGTTTACAGATCAGGTACAAACTAGACAGCCATCAAGATCCTGATGTCTTCACCACCAATTTCAAAAGCATGGCTGATGGACAGCTACACCATGTGAAGATTGACAGAGAGGAGGAAACGCTCCTTGTAGAGGTAAATCAATTCAATTCAAACAAAATAATAATAATAAAAAATAAATAAAAGGGAGGGGGAGTATTACCAAAGAATATAAGATCCACAACAAAATGAAATAAATAGTTAAAACAGAAAACTTACCCCCAAATAAACTGTGTTTTAATATCTTAAATAAATAAGTAAATAAAGCAAAGCTTAGCAGACTCAGTAAGAGTCAAGTTTAGGAATTCTCTTTGGCTTTCTTCTTGTCTATTTTAAAAAGACAATTTATCCTCATCATTTTATATGAAATGATTTATTATTAAATTTATATAATTGGATGACTGCTGTCATTAATTTGGGATCTTGTATTTTGATATTTTTTTTAATTAATCAAACAACAATACACATATTTTTATATCTAGAAAATAACTTAAGCCTACTTTCCTATTTCTCACAAGTCCTTTTTAACTCAATGGAATATTATTATTAAGAAAAAAAATATATATTTTTTTATTTTTTTATTTTTGTGTATAGCAGATGATAAAATAGAAATACTTAATTTACCAATTAATCATTATATTATTTAGAATTGCTAGAATATTAATAAAACTTCAATTTTTAAATTATTTTTTTATAAATAATGGATGTTTCAAGTTAACAGTTTAGTGCAAGAGATAAGATTCCTTAATTATGCATTGGTACAAGGCTTGAAGTCAAGCTAAAGCACACCTAGAGTTGAAGCTGGCTGTGTCTGTGAGAGAAAATAAAAAGGGTTTTTTTAGATATGTGAATGGAAAAAGGAGAACTAAAGAATACATAGGGCCGCTCCTTGATAGGGAAGGTCTCCTCACAGACAATGACATAGACAAAGCAGAGATGCTTAACGCCTTCTTTGCCTCTGTCTTCAATGCCGATGATGGGCTTCGGGACCCAGGGTGCCCTGAGCTGGAGGACCGGGACGGTGGGGATGACAAACTCCCAACGGACCCTGAACGTGCGCGGGATTTGCTACTCCACCTGGATCCCTACAAGTCCATGGGTCTGGATGGGATTCATCCCCGGGTGCTGAAAGAGCTGGCGGACATCATCGCAGAACCTCTCTCAATTATTTTTCAACGATCCTGGGAATCTGGAGAGGTCCTGGTAGACTGGAAGCTGGCAAATGTTGTGCCGATTTTCAAGAAGGGTCAGAAAGAAGACCCTAGCAATTACAGGCCTGTCAGTCTCACGTCAGTGCCTGGTAAAATCATGGAGAAGATGGTTCTCGAACTTATTGAGGCGCACCTGGGGGACAAAGCAGTCATTGGTCCCAGCCAGCATGGGTTTGTGAAGGGTAGGTCCTGCCTAACTAACCTGATTTCCTTTTATGATAAGATCACCCGTATGGTGGACCAAGGGAAACCAGCTGATGTGATTTTTTTGGACTTCAGCAAGGCTTTTGACACGGTTTCCCATAGGAACCTACTGGACAAAATGTCCACCATACAGCTAAATAAAAACATCATACGATGGGTGAGCAATTGGCTAACGGGCAGGGCCCAAAGGGTTATGGTAAATGGGGCTGCGTCAGGCTGGCGGGCGGTCACCAGTGGGGTCCCTCAAGGCTCCATTTTAGGGCCGGTACTTTTCAATATTTTTATAAACGATCTGGATGTAGGAATAGAAGGTATTTTGAGCAGGTTTGCTGATGACACCAAACTTGGAGGAGTTGTGGACTCTGTTGAGGATGGAAAGGCCTTGCAGAGGGATCTGGATAGGTTGGAGAGCTGGGCGATCACCAACCGCATGAAGTTCAATAAGAGCAAGTGCCGGGTCCTGCACCTGGGACAGGGAAACCCTGGCTGCATGTACAGACTGGGCGATGAGACGCTGGAGAGCAGCCTAGAAGAGAGGGATCTGGGGGTCGTGGTAGACAGCAAGTTGAATATGAGCCAGCAGTGTGCCCTGGCAGCCAGGAGGGCCAACCGTATCCTGGGGTGCATCAAGCACGGCATCGCTAGTAGGTCAAGGGAGGTGATTGTCCCGCTCTACTCTGCGCTGGTGCGGCCTCACCTCGAGTACTGTGTGCAGTTCTGGGCATCACAGTATAAAAAGGACATGAAACTGTTGGAGAGTGTCCAGAGGAGGGCTACGAAGATGGTGAAAGGCCTGGAGGGGAAGACGTACGAGGAACGGCTGAGGGCACTGGGCCTGTTCAGCCTGGAGAAGAGGAGGCTGAGAGGAGACCTCATCGCAGTCTACAACTTCCTCGTAAGGGGGTGTTGAGAGGCAGGAGACCTTTTCTCCATTAACACCAGTGACAGGACCCGCGGGAATGGGGTTAAGCTGAGGCAGGGGAAATTTAGGCTTGACATCAGGAAGGGGTTCTTCACAGAGAGAGTGGTTGCACACTGGAACAGGCTCCCCAGGGAAGTGGTCACTGCACCGAGCCTGTCTGAATTTAAGAAGAGATTGGACTGTGCACTTAGTCACATGGTCTGAACTTTTGGGTAGACCTGTGCGGTGTCAAGAGTTGGACTTGATGATCCTTAAGGGTCCCTTCCAACTCAGGATATTCTCAGGATATTCTATTATTTTATGATTCTATGATTCTATTCTAGAGGTATACTGGCAGGCAGAGTATTTACAGTACAAAACTTGAACTTCAAACATTAAATAAATGTTGAGTGACTTTTTTGTAATGAAAAGAATATTTTCCATTGTTTTGTGTGTTTACCAATGTTGTTTATTCTGATAATAACTAAGAAGGAATCATCCAAATAAATTAAACAAATACTAATTTATTAAGCATTTATTAATGCTTAAGAAGTATCACAGCTATAATCAGTGATTTTTTTTTTTTTTAAAAAGATGCAATTAACAAAGGTTTCCCTCAGCTTTTTTATTTATTTATTATTATTATTATTATTATTATTTATTTATTTATTTATTTATTTATTTTGACTCACGTTTTACCTGTTTTCTTTCAAAATTTAACTAAAGTCATTTCCATTGTCCTACTTTGCTCTTCAATACACCATTTTGCAGGTTAACCAGAACGAAAGAATGAAATTTATTCTGTCTTCAGGCACAGAATTCAATGCAATCAAGTCTCTCATACTTGGCAAGATTTTAGGTAAGTGAAACACCACCTGGTTTTCTAAAGCATAGATCAAAATGTCACCATGGCAAACTTAATAGCATTGAAAGACATTTGTTGTCTTGAAATTAATTAGATGCTGAGTTACAATCAAGGTAGGAACTTCAGTCCTGTTGGAGTACAAATATAATCACGTGTAAGTACTTCCTGAAAAATATGCAAGTGTATTCCATTAAAAGTAATTTTACACTTATCTCTTCTATTTTTGCAATCAAACATTATGAAACACAACATTTTTTTTTTCCTCTCAGGAAAGAATAATTTATCATCATATCATACACAAAGACCATAGAATGCTATTAATCTTAATGTATCTTAAATATTTATAAGTTTGTAAGGCATGATGTTGTCATTATTATTATCTACAAGTCTATTAATTTTCCATAAAAACACATTCGATAAGTTATGAAATTTTATAAAATAAAGAAAAAAAAACTTGGAAATTAAGTGGCTGCCTTGGTGTCTCACAGAATCACAGAATCACAGAATTTCTAGATTGGAAGAGACCTCAAGATCATCGAGTCCAACCTCTGACCTAACACTAACAGTCCCCACTAAACCATATCACTAAGCTCTACATCTAAACGTCTTTTAAAGACTTCCAGGGATGGTGACTCCACCACTTCACTGGGCAGCCTGTTCCAATGTCTAACAACCCTTTCGGTAAAGAAGTTCTTCCTAACATCCAACCTGAAACTCCCCTGGCGCAACTTTAGCCCATTCCCCCTCATCCTGTCACCAGGCACATGGGAGAACAGGCCAACCCCCACCTCACTACAGCCTCCTTTAAGGTATCTGTAGAGAGCGATAAGGTCGCCCCTGAGCCTCTTCTTCTCCAGGCTGAACAAGCCCAGCTCCCTCAGCCGCTCCTCGTAGGACTTGTTCTCCAGACCCCTCACCAGCTTCGTCGCCCTTCTTTGGACCCACTCAAGCACCTCGATGTCCTTCTTGTAGCGAGGTGCCCAAAACTGAACACAGTACTTGAGGTGCGGCCTCACCAGAGCCGAGTACAGGGGGACGATCACCTCCCTAGCCCTGCTGGTCACACTGTTTCTTATGCAAGCCAGGATGCTGTTGGCCTTCTTGGCCACCTGAGCACACTGCTGGCTCATATTCAGCCAACTATCAACCATCACTGCCAGGTCCTTCTCTGCCTGGCAGCTTTCCAACCACTTATCTCTCAGTCTGTAGCTCTGCTTGGGGTTATTGCGCCCCAGGTGCAGTACCTGGCACTTGGCCTTGTTAAACTTCATACAGTTGACCTCAGCCCATTGGTCCAGCCTATCCAGATCCTCTTTCAGAGCCTTCCTACCCTCAAGCAGATCGACACATGCACCTAGCTTGGTGTCATCTGCAAACTTATTGAGTGAGGGTGCACTCAATGCCCTCGTCCAGATCATTGATGAAGATATTAAAGAGGACCGGCCCCAGCACCGAGCCCTGGGGAACGCCACTAGTGACCGGCCTCCAACTGGACTTGACTCCATTCACCACGACTGCTTGGGCCCGGCTATCCAGCCAGTTTCTAACCCAACAAAGTGTGCGCCAGTCCAAGCCAAGGGCAGCCAGTTTCTTGAGGAGAATGCTGTGGGAAACGGTGTCAAAAGTTTTACTGAAATCAAGGTAGGCCACATCCACAGCCTTTCCCTCATCCACCCAGCGCGTCACTTTGTCATAGAAGGAGATTAGGTTCGTCAAGCAGGACCTGCCTTTCATAATCCCATGCTGACTGGGCCTGATCGCCTGCTTGCCCTGCAAGTGCTGTGTGATGACTCTCAAGATAATCTGCTCCATGAGCTTCCCTGGCACTGAGGTCAAACTGACAGGCCTGTAGTTTCCCGGGTCAGTCCTCCAGCCCTTTTTGTTGATAGGCGTCATGTTTGCTAGCCGCCAGTCAACTGGGACCTCCCCCGATAGCCAGGGCTGTTGATAAATGATGGAAAGCGGCTTGGCCAGCTCCTCTGCCAGTTCTCTCAGTACTCTTGGGTGGATCCCATCCGGCCCCATCAACTTGTGCACATCCAAGTGCCATACCAGGTCACCAACCATTTCCTCATGGATAGTGAGGGCCACATTCTGCTCCCTATCCCCTTCCACCAGCTCAGGGTACTGGCTATCCAGAGAACAACTGCTCTTGCCTCTAAAGACTGAGGCGAAGAAGGCATTAAGCACCTCCACCTTTACCTCATCTCTTGTAACTAAGTTTCCCGCCACATCCTGTAAAGGATAGAGATTCTCCTTAGTCCTCCTTTTTGTGTTGATGTATTTATAAAAACATTTTTTGTTATCTTTAACGGCAGTAGCCAGATTGAGCTCCAGATGAGCTTTGGCCTTTCTAATTTTGTCCCTGCACAGACTTGCAACATCCTTATAGTCCTCCCTAGTGGCATGCCCACTTTTCCAAAGATTATAAACCCTCTTTTTTCTCCTAATATCAAGCCACAATTCTCTGTTCAGCCAGGCTGGTCTTCTTCCCTGCCAGCTTGTCTTCGGTCACGTGGGGACAGACCGTTCCTGCGCCATTAAGATTTCCCTCTTGAAGAGCACCCAGCCTTCCTGGACTTTTCTGCCCTTCAGAACTGCCTCCCAAGGGACTCTGCCAACCAGTGTCCTGAGCTGCTCAAAGTCAGCCTTCTGGAAGTCCAATACAGCGGTTTTACTGGTCCCCTTCCTGGCCTTGCCAAGAATAGTGAACTCCACCATTTCATGGTCACTCTGCCCAACACAGCTTCCGACCACCACATCTCCCACCAGTCCTTCTCTGTTTGTGAAGAGAAGGTCTAGCGAGGCGCCACCCCTGGTAGACTCACTAACCAGCTGCATCAGGAAGCTATCTTCCACGCTCTCCAGAAACCTCCTAGACTGCTTTCTCTGGGCTGTGTTGTGCTTCCAGGATATGTCAGGGAAGTTGAAGTCCCTCACGAGAACAAGCACTGAAGATTTTGCAACTTCTGTCAGCTGCCCCTAGAACTCCTCATCCGTCTCCTCATCCTGGTTCGGTGGTCTATAACAGATCCTGACCAGGACACTAGCCTTGTTGGCCCCACTGATCCTAACCCAAAGGGACGTGACCTTGTCATTCCCAGCCTCGAGTTCCACAACATCGAAAGACTCTCTAATATAGAGAGCCACACCACCACCCCTTCTGTGCTGCCTGTCCCTTCTGAAGAGCTTATAGCCAGTCATTGCAGCACTCCAGTCATGAGAGTGGTCCCACCACGTCTCCATGATGGCAACCAAGTCGTAGCCTGCCTGCTGCACGATGGCTTCCAGCTCCTCCTGTTTGTTACCCATGCTGCGTGCATTGGTGTAGATGCACTTCAGCTGGGCCATTGCCTTATCCCCTGGCCTTGCTATTGTTCCCCCTGGCACAGCTCCAACAGTCCTTGCTTCAGCCCCATCCCCCTTCTTACCTAGTTTAAAGTCCTCTCAATGAGCCCTGCCAGCTCCTGGCCCAGGATCCGTTTTCCCCTAAAAGATAGGGACCCGTCTGCGGCCATCAGGCTGGGTGCCGAGTAAAGTGCCCCATGGTCGAAAAACCCAAGATTTCTGTGTTGGCACCAGTCTCTTGAATATCTAGTCAGTAAACTTTCTGCAAAACAGTGGTGGTTTCTCATCCTTTTAAAATCCTTCTAAGTTTCTAGGTTTCTAAGTAAGTATTAAGAAAGTCATTATTATTATTATTATTATTATTATTATTATTATTATTATTATTTCAGTAATAAATTCAGAGAACTGTGATATATGGCATAGAATTGAGTTTTCATCTTAAATGAGTTTAGAAGATATATTATTTTATCTTGCTCTCCAAGGATTAAAGCAACTATTTACATGTTTCATATAAAAGCTATTGTGAAAAATAAGTTATAAGAAGTGTTTCTGCAGATTCATTTTTATGTAGTTTAATTTAGAGGAATTTTATTACTTTGTAACTCCGTTGCCTCTCTAGGATCCACATATCTACCACTTTTTCTGTACACACTCTCATGACTGGAGTGCTGCAATGTCTGGCATAGGCTCTTCAGAAGGGACAGGCAGCACAGAAGGGGTGGTAGTGTAGCTATCTATATCAGAGAGAGGTTTTTTTTTGATGTCATGGAACTTGAGGTTGGGAATTATAAGGTTGAGTCCCTATGGGTTAGGATCAGTGGGAAGGCCAACAAGCCAAGCATCCTGGTGGGGGTCTGTTATAGACTACCGAACCAGGATGAGGAGACATAGAATCATAGAATATCCTGAGTTGGAAGGGACCCTTAAGGATCATCAAGTCCAACTCTTGACACCGCACAGGTCTACCCAAAAGTTCAGACCATGTGACTAAGTGCACAGTCCAATCTCTTCTTAAATTCAGTCAGGCTCGGTGCAGTGACCACTTCCCTGGGGAGCCTGTTCCAGTGTGCAACCACTCTCTCTGTGAAGAACTTCCTCCTGATGTCAAGCCTAAACTTCCCCTGCTTCAGCTTAACCCCGTTCCCGCGGGTCCTGTCGCTAGTGTTAATGGAGAAAAGGTCTCCTGCCTCTCGACACCCCCTTACGAGGAAGTTGTAGACTGCGATGAGGTCTCCTCTCAGCCTCCTCTTCTCCAGGCTGAACAGGCCCAGTGCCCTCAGCCGTTCCTCGTACGTCTTCCCCTCCAGGCCTTTCACCATCTTCGTAGCCCTCCTCTGGACACTCTCCAACAGTTTCATGTCCTTTTTATACTGTGGTGCCCAGAACTGCACACAGTACTCGAGGTGAGGTCGCACCAGCGCAGAGTAGAGCAGGACAATCACCTCCCTTGACCTACTAGCGATGCCGTGCTTGATGCACCCCAGGATACGGTTGGCCCTCCTGGCTGCCAGGGCACACTGCTGGCTCATATTCAACTTGCTGTCTACCACGACCCCCAGATCCCTCTCTTCTAGGCTGCTCTCCAGCGTCTCATCGCCCAGTCTGTACATGCAGCCAGGGTTTCCCCATCCCAGGTGCAGGACCCG